TGGGGGGGGGGGGTTGGAAGACCTGTTCAAGTGTCAGTCACAGAAATGGACTGTTGATCTCAGTTGTGGGAAGGTGTATATGTATGGGAGAGAGAGAGAGGGAGAGAGGGAGAGAGAGAAAGAGAGAGAGAGAGAGAGAGAGAGAGAGAGAGAGAGCAACAAAAAGGTTATGGGAAGGGATGGGTAGCAGAGATACTTAATTGGGCCCGGAATATAGTGTTCATAGGAAAGCATTTCATCTTATTTTTGGCAGTTCAACTGTTTGTTGGTTTACTTGGTGGTTATTAGAGACAATGCATAAGTGACAATAAAATTTAGTAATGGTGTTAGTAGTAGTAAAGTTATATATAATAGATAACATTTATGCTGCACATTTTTCATTTTCTAAAATAATACTATATGCCAATTACAGACAAAGAGATAGCATATTTTAAAATCACTTGACAGGTTTTATTTGTTGAACATGATATTTTGTATATAATATATCATTTCACTCACGACAGTCACAATGGAAATCTATTGGAATGGCTTTAAATAAACAGTAAAGTTTTCATTCTCTACTATCTCACTCTCTCTTTCTCTTTTTTCCCCTCTCTCTCACTCTTAATGATACAATGATATACACATAATAGGTCAGAACTCTATGTATCTTCCCATTTGGACTGGGATGTTTAACTGGAATAATGTGACCAATATCAGTAGTTACCCCTGTCTTTGAAGGGGATGCAACACTGTCACAGTAATCACGCTTCTTTAACTCTTTAAACCCTTAGTTTTTTCTCCCGGAGATTTTTTTCTACAGACACCTAAACTGAGTGCACTATGTCTCATTATAACCCCAAAAGCTAGCCTCCAACTTCTAAATAGCGGAAACAAAGGCTTAGTCCTTACTAAAAAAATTTGGTTCCGAAAAACAAGCAAAAACTAGCACTAAATGAAGCGAAACAGTTGTCACTAGGGTGGGGAACAGTGTTATTACTGCCAGAGCGTCTGATGGGGTTCAAAGAGTTAAACCTCACGTATCTCGTTTGGTTGTCCAGGCGGTGTCAGAACTGCGGGCCCGTCTTGACCAGGAGCTGCAGGAGAACCTGGACCTGGTTATATCACAGCTGACCAGTGTCCATACTGGAGAGCTGCAGCAAGTGGAGGCCAAACACCAGGTGACTAGCTCATTTTTCTAACCTCTCGACTACATCATGGCAGTGTCTGGGGTTCTCGCTGTAGAGGATTCATGGGCTGCTTTCATAATACTTTAGTTTTGTTCCTTTGTTGGTTCTTTTTTTAGATTGAAGTCTTCCATTTTCTCTACTGCTTTTTAGCATTTTGGAGCTCCCTTTTTTCTTACCTCTCAACTACACTGAAGCCCTGTGAAACTACGTCATGTCAAACAGTTTTTGTTTGTGTGTGCACCCAAGCAAGATTTTCTGTGGGTGGTTGGCGGGTGCTCTGGTGTGGTTTGCTCCTTCTTTCCTATCAAACATCTGTCGTCCTTATCTCCCCTCAAATCTTCTTGCCCTCATATGACCTTATGCAGTTGCGAGCGCCGTAAAACCTCTACTAAAAACAAACAAGATTTTCTGTTTACATTCCGTATTCTTGTTACTACACACATGTGCTTTCTGGTGTGTTTAGCCATTGTTTGATGACTTGGCACAGATTTGATAGACAAATAACTTGGAGAGTGGATTTATTTAGCTACCTTTAATGTTTGTAATGTGACCAGTGAAAGTTGCAAAAGTCATGGTTTGGAGTGATTTCAGGAAACTTGATTTGGTTTGTTTCGGGTCATTTACATGTTGAATTTTCAAGAGTATTATAACTATAACCATCCTTGACATATACTCAAACCCCAAATTTTTTTGTTGTAATCTCCTATGAAAATACCCTTGTTGTCTCCTATGAAAATACCCTTGTTGTTTGAGTCAGAATCCGAAGGCCTATTTGCAGTTCATAACCAATTTACCTTTTTTGGGTAAAATTGATGGTATATGCTAACATCAAGAGTCAATAACATAATCATTATCAGTAAATGTGTATGAGTGTTATGCCAGTGTATTTCATTTGTTAAAGTCTTAGTTGTAGTGTGTTAGCAGGTGGTGGTGTGTCTTGTTTTCACTGCTGTTCTTTTGTGTGTATAATTAATGTTTGGCTGAGGAAGTGTTTCCTTTATATAACTGAACTGATTTTCTTGTTTATAGGAAATGTTTTTTCTCGTGTGTATGTAGGTGAGGTTTTATTCTCAGTAATTATGTCATTGATGTAAAGCGCTCAGAGCTTATACTTTGCTGGGATCGAGTGCTATATAATTGTATTTTTCAAGTCGTTTTCCCTATAAAGTCTGTTTGCCCATGTCCTCAGCATGATGTGTCCAATGTTGGAATGCTATATAAATGCATTCTATTTTCATAATCTTTTTTTCTAGTTGTCTTCCCAACATTATTGTCTGTTTGTCCACATCCTCAGCATGACGTGTCCGTGGAGATGTTGGCCCTGCGTGTGTCTCTGGAGCAGATTTACAGCAGCAAGGCCCAGCTGGAGGCAGCTGAGGCCCAGCTGCGACACCAGCAGCAGATGGACACGCTGCGACACACATTGGTCACTCAACACCAAGAAGAGATGGCCAAGCTTGGCCATTCAGGTGCTGATACTGGTCAGTTGGGGAATGTTGAGGTGGTTGAAGAATTTGAAAGAGGGACGGGGGTTTGTGATGTCCTCCCTGGGGCATTTTTTGTTAAATTGTCCTTATATTAACTCTTCTTAATGAAGCCCACTGTTAAAAACAATCAGGAAAAGACAAATGCAGTTTTTGGGAAGCCTGAATAGACATAAAGATGTTGAACATCTAGCTCTCACTGGCAAAATTGAAGGCAAATGAGGCAGGGGGAGGTCCAGAGCAACCTACTTTAAGAACCTAAATAGATGGGTAAGGGAGAAAGATGAGGGTAACATAGCTTTTTTAAGAACATCCAAGCAAAGGAATGAATGGAAAGCCATGATCGCTGATGTGTGCCGCAGATCTGGCATTTGATGATGATGATGATTATTATCTCTTCTCTCACTTGTGCACGCATGTACATACATGTACACGTTCTTCCACAAATAAAATTTGAACCACTTTGTTCTTTCATACAATAACCTCATTAATTTATTCTTAAATTTCTTACTTTTTCTATTTGGCTTTTTTCTAATATGCTTCACTGAGGAAGAAGTACAGCTGAACCTGCTCTAACTGCCCCCTGTCCAAGACAATCACCAGCTCAAACAACCGCTTCCCACTCCCCCCTCCCCCCTTGTTTTTTGGGGTGTTATAATGATACTTATCCAAGATGTTCACCTGTCTAAGGCATCGTAGACAATTTCGACTATTTTTTAGATGGGAAAAATACCTATGTTGCTCTGTTCACCAAGCTGCAAACAAAGAATATTGGATTGATAATGATGTGTGCCTTTTGGACTAAAGTGCTGCGTACCCCAAGGGGAATTAAGATGATCATTTGAACTGTACTGGGCAGCTAAGGGAGTTGTGAAGTCATGTGAGCCTTCTGTCAGAGGAGCCGCATAGTTACAAACAAACACTTTATTGCTGATGTTGTGCTTTAATAGAAACAGAGGTCCATGTGACACAGCTATGCTGTGAATTGAAAGACTTAGTGCGCTTCCACTGAGCTCAGTGGTCAGATGCAGAGGCTGCAGAAGATACACCCAGCTCAGCTTATATCTGTTTATCTGTTGTGATTGATTGTGTTGATGTTGAGTACCTGACGGGTTGCAATGTTGCATGTTCCATGGGAACTTCTGTTGTTTGAGCCTTCAGTTGGAAAGAATACAAGATTTTTACTTTTACGTTAGCTTTAACTCTTGTTACAATGATACTTTCTCTCTTCTCAGATGTTCCCAATGTCGCTAAGTCTTCCCTAACCAAACAGTATGATGCTCTCATTGAGGTGAGTTGTTAAACTGGGTTTTTTTTAAGTCAATAATGTTTAAAGCATGGTTTTTGGAATAGTTTGGACATGGCCTTTTAGACATGGGTTTGGCTTGAAGGGCTGGAAAATAATAATATGTCTGTTTGTTTAGTATGGGGTTTTACAGCGCTCGCAACTGCAAAAGGTCATATGAGTGCACAATATGTCTGAAGAAATGTAATTGTTTCTCTTTTTTTTACTGATAAATAAGGAAATGGTCACACTCTCAAGTAGGATTTTTACCTGACTCTGGGATGATTAATATTTATAGATGTTGATAAAGTGCTCAAATAACGAAAGTGAAGGCTATTTTTATTATATTACTTTATGGTAGAAAGCTGAAAGGTATATCTCCATCTCTGTTTTACTGAAATTTATTTGATTGTTCCAGTATTGACATACCACTTTTTATCCACAGAGGATAAGTAATGAGTTAGAGGAGAAATTCTTGCCTACCATGGAGGGAGAGAAAGAGGATGGTCAGGATGTACATAGAATGGTGCCTTCTTTGCCTTCAGAGGGTAAGTTAACATAGAGATTTTTTGTTGAAGAAAACCTATAACGATAGGTCAGAAATTTGGAAATCTAAGAGCTTTAGTATTTAAAAAAAATTTAGATGCATTTATTTTCAGTGAACAACCATCAATTCAGTTCCATAGAAACATGTCAACTTTTGTTATCCTGTTGTCTTACCTACATTTTTCATAATTGATATCTTGACATCATCTATCCTGTTCATCAGGCCATTATTTTTACTTCTACTTCTTTTCTTTCTTTGTTTTTTTTTAATTTTTTGTCTATCTTACTCTTACTAAATGACAGTTAACACAGTGATGTGCTTTTCTTTACTCAAGCAAACTCAAAACAAGTTGGTGTGCTTTTCTTTACTGACCATGAAAATAGAGGAACCAGAACTACTTTGTGTCAATATATCCCGTACAGAGTTACGCAGCCTTCTCCTGAGCCAGCAGCAGGAGATTGCGTCGCTGAGAGGAGAGGTGTTGTCCGAGTACGAGTCCGTCCTGAGTGCCCGAGCATCCAGCGTACAGGAGCAGAGCCAGGAAATGGTGGGCCTGGAGCAGCAGATGCGGGACTTACAGCAGCAGTTTGAGCAGCAGCTGGCTACGTTCAACAGCAGGCTTCAGGAAAAGGAGGGTGAGCAGGAAGCTGACTGATTAGTCTTGGGGAAATCTGTGGAGGTTATTTGCAATTAAATTATCTCTGAAACTCAGATATTATGTACAGTTTTCACAGGGAAGTCATGTTGATTTCTCATACATGCTTATTTTCTCGTAATGCCTAAATTAAGCTTTTAAAAACCAGTTTTAACAATGAATTTGAGTCTGATATGTTTAGTGAAATATGACTGTCATAAAAAGTGTGCATATATTTTGTCCTATATTCATTTTAATCATCTAAGTGAATTACACACCTTGTTTATCTAGAGTGGTAATAATATTGAGATAGAAGAATATTGATAAAGAAAATGGTGACAGCATTTATATTTTTTCCATTGTACTATTGCAGAAGAACATCAGCAACATTCCAGTGAGGAGAAGGAAAAACTTGAGAAACAACAAGCAGAATTTAAATCTCACTATGAGAAGCGTATCCAAGAAATGGAAGCGGCTTTTGAGAATGAAATTGGTTCCATCAAGGACAAGTATGAGGAGCAGATCTCTGGCCTCATTCATGCCAGACTGGCAGGCAGCAAGGAGCAGGAGGAGCAGCAACTGTCCCCTCCTCTCAAAGAAAGCGTAGACGAGAGAAGCCCTCGTAACACTAATTTGTCAGACACTGATAGTGACAGTTTTGATACGCCCAGGTCGGTCCCCTCTGACCTTTCCGTACAGCTCAAGCAGTTGGAAGCTGAGCTTGCTGAGCGTGACGCTCAACTCAAAGAGCTGAAAACACAACTGGGTGTGGAGGAGTCGCGTTCGTGTTCCTTAGACACGGAAGTGTCCAACCTGAAGACGCAGGTGGAACAGCTTCAACAAGAAGCATCAGACGCTCTCGTTCAGTGCTCCAAACTCCAACAACTTGTTGAGGAGAAAGACTCTGTTATCAGGCAGCTAGAGATGGAAAAGATAGAGAGTGAGAAACTGTATAAAGATCTTTTGGAGAAAGAGTCTCCCCGCTCAAAGGACTCTGTCCATAAGGAGCATTTGAGTGGTAGCAGTGTGGATGATTCGTTCTGCTCAGCGAAGGAAGACAGTCGCGACACCCCGCGAAGTGGCATTAGTGACAGTCGTGACACGCCGAGAAGTGGTGACAGTGCTTCAGATTTTAAATCTCCACGACTACGCAGCAGCGATGACTCTGAGCATGAGGACATTGCTGAGCAAAATGATACCATCCCTTTTGCCAACGACTCATCTGAGGCACAAGAGGGCAACAGCAATAACAACAACAACAACAACAACAGCAACAGCGGTGGTGGGACTCCCATTGAGGAGATGGTGCAGCATCTGAAGGAGAAAGTGGTAGAGCTGGAGAAGGAGTTGGGTCAAGCACAGAGCCGAGAGGTGGAGCTCAGGGCACAGATAGAAGAGAAAGAGCATGGCTATATGGAACTGTTGGAGGTAAGCGCAGCATAATTGTTTTGTGCGTGTAATGTTCTTCCCTAATCTCTGTCCTTTTTTTTCCCTCCTGCTGTGGAGATATGGAAATGGTTGGTAGGTGCTCTGATGTTGCCTTCCCTTTCTTCTTTACAATGTTATTATTTTTCTGATCACCTTATTTGATTCATTGGAAACGTGCATGCTAATTTAAAATGGCTTTCCACTCCTATGTATGCAATGAAGATGACACTGGTGCTATGGATTTTTTAGTTTTCTTGCTCTTTCCCTGCACTAAATAACCGTCATGATTTCGATATACTTATGACTCTGTTCATTAAAACTAAATTATGACATAAAGCTCATTTTTCCTCTTTGTCCTGAGATCGTTCCAAACTAATAGAAGGCCAATACCAGTTTAGCTAGAGGCAAATATGATCATTCAGGTCAAGCGGTTCATTATTACGGTTATATTGTAAACTGAAAAGTAACATTTTATGTGAAGGGGATCAGCCCCTGGGAATAAGTCCTAATCATTAACAACTTGGTAAATGGATGTATGAAGTATGTTTCCTTATTCAGTTACAATTACCTGAAAGCTGCACAATTTGTAGACGGTGGTTGGCGGATGATTTAGTTTGGTTTGGTCCTTCTTTCTTATTAAAATATCTATCATGCTTATCTCTCCTCCTTCTTTTCTATGTATGTTACTCTCCAGTAACACTTCTAATCTTTAGCACTTATATGTGGATGGTTGGCGGATGCTCTGGTGTGGTTTGCTCCTTCTTTTCTATCGAATATCTATCATTCGTGTTTTGTTACTCTCTTGCCCATATAATCTTCAGCACTTATATGACATTATCATATTGCAAGTGCTGTAAAACTATTACTAAAACCTAAAGTACTGGAAAACTCTTACTTAAACTTTAAAAAAAAGACAAATTTGTTGGTAGAGGTTCACTTCCTGACTCTCTGTCTTTGTCTCCCAGACGGTGAAGCAAGAGCTGGAGCATGACAAGCAGATGGAGGTTGAGACACTTCAGTCTGAGTTCCGTGTTCAGCTGGAGGTGGAGCTCAAAAGGCAAGCTGCGGACTTGTCTTCTCAGGTCCAGACACAAACACAAGCCGAAGGCGGTGAGAAATCAGAACCTCACCTACCCAATGGTGATATTTCTCACAGTGCAAGCAGCGATCCGCCCACCTCACCACCTCCGTTACGAAAACTGAGCCAGGATGATGTTGATGATACAAGTTCTATCTCTGAGAACATTGAAGAAGGAGACGATCTGGAATCCGAACCGAGCCTGATGCAAACATCGGCTTTTGAGCTTCAGCAAGTCCTGCAGGCATCTGCGAGTCAGGTGTCACTGGGTGAGGCAGCGGATGAGGTCCAGGAGGAGAACCTCAGCGATGACTCCAAGGCCACGACTTCGGCTGCTGGGTCTGTGGCAAGCCCTCCCCCTGGTGCTGCGTCCTCTCTGGCTGATGAGCCCGCGGGCATGGCTTTGCCGCTCACGGACATGGAGAAGGAGATGGAAGCTCTGAAGGAGGAATATGAAGAGCGTTTGGCCCAGCTCAAGTCGCAGCTAGATCAGCTGAAGACTGAGAAGGAGACCGTGACGTCTACCCACCAGGAGGAGCAGAGGAGCTTGCAAGAACAGCTCACCCATGCTGAGGAACGATACGACCGTCTCATGGAAGGTATGTTGTTATGTCTCTGTTATTAAAATACATGTAGTTGCGATTTGGCTTATGCCCAATGCTATGGTATAAAAAGTTTTGTCCTGATTGTTCCTTGGAGCAATATAAGGTGTTAACTGCTTCTGGGCTTGGAAGAGATTGTTGGAAGCTATGTTGGCTGCTTTTCAGAAAGCTTTTTGATGTGATCAGTTTTTAGATAAGGTTTTTGCTTTTTATTGAGTATTTTCCGTGACTGTTCTTGTTTTTAACATATGTTGAGCAATAGAGCCTATACTCATCTTTTTTTAGAGCCATCCTGATTCCACAGGATATTTCACTCCACTGGTAAATCTCATTTGAATTTTCTTCATTTGTCTTTCTGATATTACAGTTTCTGTACAAATTTACTTGAATAATTTTTTAGTGTAGGAACATTGTTTTAGCCCCTTAATTTCTGCAAGAAGATATCACATCAACTTAAAAAAATCCTGTATAGCTTTTCCTCAGCGTTTCTTTTGACTTGTGCCCATAATTTTGTAGTTTTTCTAAATTGTTTTTTTTATACCCCCCAAAACTGTTCATTCTCATAACTCTTTTCACATCTGATACAGGGATACTTTGAAATTATCAGTACATTATTTTTACTAGAAAGCATTAAAGCTGGTTAGTGTTCTCTGTGTGGGCCTTTCTTGGTATAGAAGTCAAACTGCAATGTTTAAAATTTAAAGTTGTGTGTTTTACATTAAATGGAACAAAAAATGTTGTTGGGGATCTGCTGCATGTCTTGACTCTAAAGAACTTCATTGATTGATTAAAAGAATTGGAGAAAGGAAAATTATTAAGATTTACCTGATGAATATACTCAATACATTGTACTGTTGTTTTATTTAATTTCTCAAGCCTTGAACAGGGTTTCTGCTCATAGTCTTCAAATTTTTCTACATTTTTTTTTGGTAAGAGTTTTACGGCGCTGACAACTGCACAAGATCATATGAGTGTGCAAATTTTTCTTCTCCTGATATTAAAACAAAATGAATATAAAACATATAGTTCTTATTTCATCTGTTAGAAAAATTTGTTCCTCTATTTGTTGACCAGGTGTAGAGAATGGGGAGCATCCACAGCTGAATCAGCTGATGAAAGACAAATATGATGAAGAGCTGGATCTTGCCAAGTCCTTAATACAGAAAGACTTTGACGAAGCCCTGAAGGAAGAGAAGGTAATGTTATTTTCTACGTGGCTTGAATTGTCCATGTGCTTGTATAATGTAGTTATGTGGATTGAAGGAAGACAATTTTTGTCCTTAAGCTTAATATCTTTGATGTGCTGAAACAGTTTTGTGGGACTCTTACATGTGTTTTATGATGATTCCTCAAGAGTTCTGCTTCAGGTGTAAAGTTTTTAGTATGTAATGCAGAGGAGAAAGAAAATCATAGTATCAGGAAAGGTTCCGGTTTTTCTTTCTCTTTTAAATGTAGACCTATCCGTCGGTTTCCTCATTTCTCTGGAAAAGCTTTTTAAAAGAATTACCTGTTTCAGAAAGGGTTTATCCAAAGAGGATGTATGGATGTTATTGTGCTGATGAAGTTGAGACTGTTTGATCCCAGCTTGCGACTGTCTCTTGCTATTAACTAGGATTATAAGCGATCCTGGCAGTGAAAGAGATAATTATTTGGTTTGAAAATGCTTGTTTACGTAGATGTTGTTAGCTGTGTACCTTTTGGGAGATTTGCTGGTTCTCTGGTGTGATTTACTCCTTTCCTATCAAACATCTACCATCCTTATCTCTTCTCCTTTTCTTTGTAATTAACTCTCTATTAACATCTTTAATCTTTCGCACTTATGTGGCCTATTTGTGTTGCAAGTGCCGTAAAACTTTACTAAAACTAAACTTGGGCTCCTGCTCTGCGACATGAAAGTTGACTTTGAATTCTGATCTTGTTGTTGAAACAGAAAAAGTTTGTGGAGCGTCACAGGAAACTGATGACCGACTTTATGGGAGATAGAGGGAAAGAAGAGGAGGAGGCAAAGGAGAAGCACGATAAAGAGTTATCAGAGTTGAAACAAAGCCTGACTGAAGAGTTTGAACAGAAGCTTAGGGAATATGAGGTAAGATATTTGATTTTAGAACTGTCTGTAGCTTAACATAACAGTCTTTGGCCTGCTTGCCCTGCCTGCTTCCCACTCCTTTTTTACGTTTGAAGAGTCTTTTTGAGTTTAGAAAAGTGAAGTCTTTTTTCCCTCCTTATTGTGATTTGAAACCCTTTACTTTCTTTCTTGTTTTTCCCCCCTATTTTTGGAGGGTAAATTCTTTGTTTTATTTTTATTCTTGACAAGCCCTTTGATTTAGTTCATGCTGATTTGCCATCTACTTAATCTCAACAACCTATTATTTCAGGTGAATGAATGATACAGACATTCTTGTTTCTGCTAATTTTTTCTGGACATGAAATTGAAGTTCTTTGTTGACTGTTTGTCAAATTTTAATTGTAACTACAGTATAACACGGATAGGACGAACACAGAAGAATTGAAATCACGCCTCCTTCGAACCGTGATTGTGGTCCTGTTTTCTTTTTTTCCCCTTCTTTATCTGTGTAAGATATCCCTCGAACTACGGATCCCTCAAACTAACAAGGCACGTCCCTCCGAATTCGAGCAATGCAATCCGTGTTATACTGTATTACTTTTCAGCAACATCAGATTAACCTTATGCCTTTTGTTTGTAACATGTTGAAATATTGACCCCATTGATATGTTTACCTTGTTGGGCAATAAAGTTTTGGATAAACACTCATGTCCCCAAAATATTAAGTTGAATTTTGTTACTTCGCTTTAGCACATTTGATGTGCAAGATTGTAAGTAATATATTGGAAAGCCCATTGAAGAAGATATGAACAGAGTTTTCCTTGATTTTTATTTCATTTTTCTGTTTTCCAAGTGTAATTGCCATTTGCGCTCTCACCACTTTCGTTCTTCACATTGTTTCAGTATTTGAACAAAAAATGTTTCTGTCTGGTTGGTACTCTACATTATTTTGTTTTTAGTTCTGACTTTTATTCACAGGTTTAAACTCACAGCATGTTAGAACTCACCATAGCCCTCATTTGTTTAACTTTGTATGTTTGTGCTACAATGTCCAGATGGAGTCCATTTGTGCACAGACAAATCTAGCAAATTGAAGTGCTGCTGGTTTCATCTCTTCTTCACATTTGAAGTTCAGTATCTGTCTGTTATATACTGGGCTGCCCTGCTCAGTTCTTTTGTTAACCCATGTAGCTTCTCCTGTAGTGTTTGTGTTGTTGGCCTCATTTCATGTATCACGGCTCTGTGTGTCCTGCATAGCTGGAGGATGCTGCTAGTTTCTTATCCTTGAAAAATATTGCCAGTAAATGTTCAAAATAAACTCGCAAGAATTTATGTTCAGATTGTTTGCTGATTTATCTTCCTGTTTGGTTCTGGTTTAATCTAGGTGGCTTTATGCTTGACTGTCAATGCTGACAGTTGATGTTCCTGTGTCTCCAATAAGTTTCAAAAGTCCCTTAAGTCTTACTTTCCAAGCTGACCAAATCATTCCAGTTGTGCAGAGCTTGTTTTGTTTGTGCGCTACATGGGTCCCTCGGTACATGACTGACTGTGGTGCCGCAGGCCTAGTGATTAGGCACCAGGACTCGCAATAGTTATGCCATGGATTTGAATCTGTGGGAAGGGCACTCAAGAATTTTACTCAGTTAACTGAAGTGGGAATGGATACCCGGCTTTTGACAAGAAAAGGTCTTGTCAATTGGTTAGAGTTAAGCAAGTGCTATCCACAGCTTGAACTGTATTCTTCTCGGGTGGCCAAGAATGTTTCTGAGTGTTCAAGGTCTGCTGTGGTATAATAGCTGTTAAGCGCATAGAACATGCTGTAGAGAATGAATATACGCTATATAAACGCAATTATTATTATTAAGATGAGGACACCAATTTTTCTCTTCATCTTAATTGTCATGGTTTTGGACATGTGGTTTAGCGGGACTTTCTGACCGGAAAAATTGTTTGAGAGTGAGCCTGTCTTGAACTATATTTTCTTTCTCCTTTCATGAAAGGGAATGTACTCTTATGTTTTCCTGAAAATCTGCAGTCTGGTTAATATTCCAGTGTATTTGTGGACTCACAACTTTGCATATTAATTCTTTCTTTACTTCATTTGGTTTTATGTTTTTGTAGAACTCATCCTCATTTCATACTTATTAATTTTTCATTTTTTGTGACAAGATGTAGGCTGTGAAATCCTTGTTAATTGACATTGCTGATCTCGAAAGGTTTTTAGCCTGTTTTGTTCCTTCATCTTGTCACAGCATGTTCTTTCCAATTTTGATTTGAGCATAGTGAACAATCCTGTCCCACATGACTCTCAAGCATTTATTTGATGTGCATCCTTGGTTAACAAGGATTTTGTTCCAGCGATTTTGCTAGGATGAGGTTCATAATGATAATTGAAAGAAATTGTCAGGTTAAACTGTCACGCTTTTACCAGAAACATGGGTACGGAAGCAGAAATTTGCTGAATAGTTGATGCTCTTATGGGCACAAACTTAAACACACAAAGTTGAACTTAGGAATCTTGTATATTTTTAAACTAAAGTGAGGAGCTTTTGAGTCATGTGAACAGGATCTTTCACTGTTCTCTTTGTGTCTGTCTGTGGGTTTGTGTGTGCTCTCACTGCTTGCCTTGTGCTCCCCCCCTGGGCTCCTCTCTCGCGTGACAGAATGAGATAGAGAGGCTGAAGCGGGACCTGGATCTGTTTAGAGACATGAGTCAGGAGTCTCCTGATGGTGACACGGGGCCAAGGGACAGCACCCTGCCCGAGATCGATGAGATAACTCTTAGCTTTCAGGTGTGCTGTGTAACAGTCTGTGTGTTTGTTTCTTTGTAGTATTCTAACAGAATGGCTATCAAACTTATAATGTGTTGTGGAAATGCATTCAAGAGTGAAAGATAAAAATGCTGAGTTAAAAGATGCAGTTATGAGCATTTATTTGTCTGGTTTATAGACTATGATTTTTTTTTTTTTTCAAAACATATAAAAGCCTTTCAGTCATCTGGGGTCATTGTGTTAACAAATTTGTACCATTTGGTTTAATTTCACTAAATGCATGTGTTCAGTTACACAAAATAAGAAAAGTTGTCACTAAAGCCTCACTAATGTGCTTTCACTGAATGTTATGTTATCAGTATCTTCGAAATTAGCTCTTTTCATATCTATTTTATGTTGCATTTACCTTGTACTTGGAAAAGAAGAGGTTGTGGGGGGGGTGTTCTAACACAAGTTTACAAAAGAGAAAAGTTTTTACTTAAGTTTCTTTTGTTGACACTGTACAGTGACGCATGACATAAGTTTGTTTCCAGGAATTGATATTGATTGCACAAACTTGATATAACTACATATCTGCACACTTTTGAAAGAGATGGAACGTTTAAAGTAATTATTTATAGCCTGAATTTTTATACGGTACTCCTGAAAAAGACTGACATTTTACCTTGCTGGTGACTCCATCGACTGGCCAATTTATTCCTTTTTTACTATCTCATCCCCTTTGGGATATACCTGATTGCTGTTTGAATGAAGCAAGTGCCTGGTGCATCTGAATGAACTTAGGAAAGTGGGGTAGGCTAAACTCACCAAAAGTATCTTTGGCGACAGTCTTACCAGACATCATGAGGAATACAAATCTTTCTTTTTTGATGTTGAGCCTGACGCCTTTATATCAGACTAGGATTACCCCACGTAGGTCCCTACCAATGTTCTCCGTAGACAATGCGTTTACTTATGTCTCTTTTCACTGTCCATTTTTTTTCAATGGTTATGATCACCATTTTAAGTAAGCCTACTCTGGATAGTAGGTGAGCTCTTTGGTCTTTTTTTGAAAGCCCTTTTCTGAACTTTTGTTTTAATTTGTTTCTTGCTTATTATAGCCTTATAGTACCTCCCACCCTGCAACTGCAATAATTACAACATGCGTGACTTCAAAAAATAAGAAAAAAATGAAGATATTTCAGTCCCAGCTCTGGTTTTTAAAAAATCTCCAGGAAGAGTCAGAGGTCCAGCTGAGCTCCCCCAGCTCTGACTCCCGAGATACGTCTACTCCCGTGAAGAGGCCTGTCTCGGCTGACATCGGCATTCAGTACGAGGAGAGTGAGGAAGAGGTGGAGGGCCAGGCAGGGGAGACTTTGCAGATCCGCAGCTTTGCCGAGGTTGTGAGGAGCCCCCCTCCTCTGTCTGACCAGGAGAGACGAGAAAATGAACTTAAAGTCCAACAGGCAAGTAGTAAATTAAAGGACTCTTTTAAAAGTTTAATTTTTTTTTATAGGCTGAAGAATTTAGTTTAAAAGGCTTTTTGTGTGGTGTCTGATAGAAGAAGGATCACAGGACTCAACCAGAGTACACTTGTCTGACCTGTTTTTATGGAGGTTTTTGTTTTGTTTGTTTGCTCTTTTTTTTAAAGCTTCTGCTCGGTCATAAGAAAGAGTTGTGCTGCATTTCAGCCTTTACACAGCATAGACCACAATTGTTTCTATATCATGTCTCTCCCATTTCAAAGTTTCCATTCCTAATGGGTGAATTTGTGGAAAATGGGTAATGCACCTTTCACAATGATACTGCACCCTTCCAGTCAAAGCTAGGAAATAAAATAACCTTCTATCTTTTGATTACAAGTCAACAGTTTGACCAGAACGTCTTTCCTCCAATGTTTCATCTAAATATCGCTGTTTCTTTTATATTCATAATTGGAAGGCATCAGTTTCATAGTTGGTGTAATTTTAAATTTATTCCTGATGTGTCTACATTTGGTTCAATTTCTAATTTATTATTGTTGTATCTATGTTTGGGTGGTTGGAGGGTGCTTTTGTTTGGTTCACATCTTCTTTCCTATCAAACATCTGACGTCCTTATCTCTCCTCCTTCTTTTCTTATGTAACTCTCTTGTAACACCTCTAATCGTTGGCACTTATATGACCTATTTGTGTTACAATGCCCTAAAACTCTTACTAAAACAAAGAAAAAAAACTTAGAGAGACATGTCTAATCTTCAGCGCTTACATAACATATTAATGTTGCAAGTGCTGTAAAACTCTTACTAAAACAGAAGCTAAAACTAAACAGTTGGTGTAATTTTAAATGTTTTACTGCTGTGTCTACAGTTGGTTGCCCAGATTGAACGACTGACCCAACAGTTGGCGGAGCGGCAGGGGGCCGAGTCAGTCTCTCCACATGGCTCGCCGCAACACTCGCCTCACAATGACACTCTCAGGGGAGATGACTCAGCCCTTGTGGCCATGCTGCAGTCGGACCTGGACCGCATCAGTGCAGAAAGGTAAAGAGGGCGGGGCGTCAGTCTTCCTGTGTTGTGGGCTGTACGAGATGGGGCCATGCCTCTGGTCAAATTGCACTGCATCTGTCTTTGTTTTTCAGTTTGTTTGGGTTGTTCTCAAGGGATTTTCTCTTCATTCAATTTTGGCTTTTGTCTTTTGTTTGTAGTCATATGTGTTTAACACTCCCATTAACACTGTAAAGTTATGTGAGAGGCGGTTTGATTTATTTTATGGTTGATTGTTTGTTTTGATTTAGAATTGGAAGGGGGGGGGGGACACGAAAGAGAGCCAGAGAAAGGAGGAAGATGAAGTCCAGGGGATTGCTGTAGTGTCTACCCATGGGTCAATTGTTTATTGTAAATTTTGTGTGTCCCGAACAGGGCCTTGATGATATGGCATATCTCAAAAGTGTCCAAGCTTTCTGCTTTCTAAAGAAAATTTTTGAGTCAAGGGTTTTCCCCACGTTTAAAACTGCATGATATCAGCTTGAGACAGGATGTATAATTTGATATGCACCTTAGCTGTAAATAGTTTTCCCCTTTTTGAAGGATAGATTACCATCTTATTTCATTTTTTGTAGCATTTTTACCTATCAAAATTTAGAATCCAGAGGAATCTTGGACTGTATTGTGTATATGGTCTTTAGATGGTGATGTTTATTTTAATTGGAAGGGCCTCATAAGTTCTTTTCTCAGTTGAAATATGCATGTCTACTTTTTTCTTTTACTAAAACAGGGCTGTTTTGATCATTGTGGAGCATATCTACCGTCCTCTTGCTTGTGTCCCAAGTCTTATAGAATTATAGAAGATGGATAGCCAAGCCATAAACGATTATATAGATAAAAAGATCCTGTTTCAGTGTTTTTGCTCTTACTTTTACTTTATTGAGTTATTCCTGATACAGCTGAAAAATCATTGGTGGTAATTGCAGTTGCTCACAATAGCTAAAAGTGCCCTTTGAGTATTGCTGAGCAATTGCTTGCACCAGTTATTGATTTATCCAAAGTACTTTGTTACAACTTGAAAATACCTCAGTCGCACTCCCCTCTTTCCCCGCCCTGTTGCCCACAGAGAGAGTGTGCAGCGTACCAACGACCGCCTGCTGAGCTTGCTGTCGGATTCTGTAAAGACGTACGTGGGTGTGGAGGACACCATCAACCGTAAGCTCAGCCAGGTGGTCAGTGGGACCCCGAGGACTTCTGGAGCTCAGGCTGACTCGCCTCCGGTGAGGTCGCGACCCCCGAGTGTGGAGCCAGGGCTACGGTCTGACCCACAGGGGAGGATGGGCTCTCCAGCCCCCGAGAGATATGATAGGAAAGGAGGAGGTATGTATGAGTCAAAGTTTTTGATTTTGATCTTTTTTTTATGGAGGTTTTTTTTTGTTTTGGTTTTAGTCCAATTTTTTTTTTGGGGGGGAGGGTAGGTTGTGTGTGTGTTTGTGCTTGTGTATGTGTGTTTGTGGGTGTGTATGTATGTGTGTGTGTGCTCTCAAGAGTGGGGGAGAGGAGGGGGTGTGGGATGACTGATAGATCTTAAAGGAGAATAGGTCATGAGGTACTGCCTTTCTTTTTTTTTTTTTTATTGCAAGTGGTAGGCAGTATGGTCAGATTGTGTTGTCTGAGATAAGTTGTCCTTCACTATTTTCTTAATCTGTCACTGGTGTAATGTGAACAACATGCCATTTCCACTCTTCCTGTCTGTCCCTCTTTTATTTTCATAAACTCTTCTTGTCTTTCTTCAGTATTTTAAAAGCATCTTAGTCTTAATTCAATAAAGCAGAAAATAGTTAAGTTTAATCAGCTGCTGAACATTTGTGGGTGGTTGGCGCATGCTCTGATGTGGTGAGCTCCTTTTTTCCTGTCAAACATCTATCGACCTTATCTCTTCTCATTCTTTTTGTGTGCTTGTTGCTCTCGTGTAACACCTCTAATCTTCAACACTTATATGACCTAACTGTATTGCAAGTAAAACTCTTACTTAATTGAAACAAATAAAAAACAAGCAAAACATGTATGAAGACCTCTAAGAATAAACTGATAAGTAACCCCCCGGGGCGGTGCTACTGACTGAAGTGTGTTTAGGCTGTTCCCAAAAGGGGGAACGTTAACATCTTGAGTTCTTATGCGCAGTAGAGTTGTAATTGTAAATGGGCTGATTCCTCAATGTCATGCTCATAACTGTGCCTGAACTGCAACAGGGAACTGCTGCTTTTACTTTCCTAATCCTTACTATCGTCATTTCTCCTCTACTTCTTTTGTATGTTTGTCACACTCTTGTGACCCGCTATTTCCGGGGTGCCTTGATAGTCAAAGCAGACTTTGTGCTGTTGAAGCTAGAGAGGTGAGCAGAGTGAGTGATTCCCTGTAAGGACTTCTCTGTTGACATCCACCCCTTGGCGCTCATTTGACTTTATGCAGTTGCGAGCACCATAAAACCTCTACTAAAAACAAACAAAACTGATAAATCCAATGATGTGTCCTCTTCCAGCTGCAGCAGATGGAGACACAAGCCAAGACAGCCACACCCTAGAAGACACGAGTGTCTTGTCAAATGCCACAGATGAGGGTCTGGAAATCTCACACCGACTGGCAGAAAGTATATTTGTCGGACCTGATTTGGATGCCGAGGGAGAGGAAATCCTCACAGGTATGTCCTTACCTCTCTTACTTTTTTTTTTGCAGTTGTTACTCTATTGTACCACTTCTAATCTTCGCCTCTTATTGGACCTAATTGTGCTGCAAGTACTGTAACGCTTACTAAAATCTGACACCTCCCTCCCCCCCCCCAAAAAAAACAAACAAACCCCAAACAAAACAAAAGAGCAAACAAAACCAATCCATGCACAATGTAATGATGTGCATATTAACTGCTACAGATGCCCGGGGTCGGCTCCACACTGCAGTGACACAGCTCCTAGAGCTGATGGAGCGCTCCACTTGTCAGCTGATCGAGGCAAAGTCCACCCAGCAGGAACTGCTAGACACCTTAGCCAGTCGCGCCCGCGAGGTAGAGACGAGCAGCACCCGATGCACCGAGCTGGACGCTCAACTCGCTGCTGAGATTGAGGCCAAGGAGTACCTGGGCCTGGAGCTGCACAAGGCTGAAGGTTAGTGCTGAGCATGGGTGCCTGGTTTTACGACACACACACACACATTCTCTGTTCAGTCTGTTAATTTTCACACCAAGCATACATTCTGTTTAGTCTGTGTCTGGGATCTTCATACCATGCATACATTCTGTTTAGTCTGTGTCTGGGATCTTCATACCATGCATACATTCTGTTTAGTCTGTGTCTGGGATCTTCATACCATGCATACATTCTTTGCTCTGTCTGGGTTTTTTTCACATCACACATTCTTTTTAGTCTGTGTTCTTCATACCATGCGTACATTCTTTGCTCTGTCTGTGTTCTTCTTACCATGCATACATTTTTTGCTCTGTCTGTGTTCTTCGTACCATGCACACATTCTGTTTAGTCTGTGTTCTTCATACCATGCATAAAATCCTTGCTCTGTCTGTGTTTTTTTACACTATTCATACATTCTCTTTGAGTGGTTGGTCGATGCTCTAGTGTGGTTTGCTCTTTCTTATCTATCAAATATCTATTGGGAGCATAACAGAAGAAGAACATCTTTCTTAACATACATGATAACTTTTGTCTAGATAATTTACTTATTAATTTTGCACTTGAGGTCCATCGTTTTAAGAACTTGCATATTTTCTATCACATCTCTTTTCAGATTCTCTCACTAAATTGTCTTGCTTTGTTATTTCTATAACTTGTCTCTATATGAACTTGAATCTTAATGGGACTTTCACCTCTATTTGTACAGTAATAAAGCTATCAAGCTGTAGTGAGACTACTGTTACTTCTTACTACTCACAACTATTGGTGTGAGTGGTTGGAGGGTACTCTGGTGTGGCTTGTTCCTTCTTTCCCATCAAGCATCTTATCATCCTTATCACTCCTTCATTTCTTTGCATGTCACTCTCTAGAAGTAACACCTCTATTCTTCGGCACTTGTCCTTTGTGTTATAGGTGCTGTAAATGTCTTATTGAAATCAAATAATGCAACCATAGGTGTTTATGTGGTAAAGTCCTCTTGTGCTTCTTGTATGCTCTCTTGAAGTCCGCTCCTTCTATTTCTCTGTCGGTATTGCTATAATTCTTTTCCATTCTTGTCAACATTCAGAAATCGTGTTGGCTCGGTATAAGTCGACTGTCTTGTCTACATGTTTTATTCTGTCCGCCATCTTTTTTTATCTTTGGTAAATAACTCTATGAGTGGTCTGAGGATGCCTCTGATTGGCCTTACTTCTTTACTGTCCTTCTATTGTTTCTGTATATGGGTTGATAGAGGATGCCACTGAAAGATCCTTTTTAGCAGGTGGTTGGCAGGTGCTCTAGTTTCATTTACTCCTTCTTTCTTATCAAACAACTATCGTCCTGATCTCTCCTCCTTTTTTGTGTTTGTTTCTCTCTTTCAACACCTATAATCTTGGGCACTTATATGACCTTATTAACAATACCTTCATCTCTAAAGGACCATGATTGTGTCCATGTACTTTCATTTACTTACGTATCATACTTCAAATCAGACTGTCCTAATTTGTTTCCTGGCTCTGTGAATCGTCTTGTCCTCACCTCACTTTGCTATGACTTGAGCCTTTTCTTAATCTCAATCCTTTAGAAACTGCTGCACCACAATCTCTCCGGAGGACAGGCCAAGGTTATTTATAACTCAACAATATTCTATATTTTTATAGTAATTTTTTTTAAATGTCGATCTTTCTTAATTTCAAAGAATGGCTTTAAAAAGGAACATTTTACTGAACATTTTGGTGTTGGAGAGGATAATAGCCTCTTAGAGTGGTCAGGGCCTTACAACATTCATGTTTTTGGTTTAACTATTTAAAGGATATTAAGAAAGGAATAAATGGTTTGATTATATCTTGACCATAAATTTGCCAATTTAATTCCATTTTCTTCTTAAGATGAAACTATTAAAGGAAGAAATCTTATAGTTTGACTGGAGATGAGGTATATACTGGTGGAGGACAGGGCAAAGTGTATTCCAATTAATCAACAATCTATTCATCAGCAACCATTGCTGTACTCTCACTGCATGCGTTCTGTGGAATGCTCTTCTTGTCTTTTCTGTCTGGTGTTAGTGTGCAGCTTTTTGGTCTTTACCTTTACACTACATATTTCATTTTTCAATTATAGATCAAGTAAGCTTTGTTTAAGAGTGAACTATTATAGCTGAATTTACATACTTGCTTCTCGTGTTGATTGATTATAATGGCTGAACAGTGGCTTTGATATAGTTAAGCTCCTTTTATTTTCTAAATATTTTTCTGCTGTTGGGTACTTCCCACCCGTATAATGCTCTTCAGTTTTTATACCTGGCTTAGAATGTTTACAATGTGTGACATTGTATGTGTGTTCAAATGCCTTCCAAGGTTATTCTGTTAGTACAATTGATTTTTACTTAAGAGATACTGCATGGTGTAGCATGTTTGGCATGTATGTGAGGTTTATTTTGAAGAGTTTCCAACCAATGGCTGCACTGCCCCCCTGCCTTGCCAGGTCTCATCTCTGGCTATCGCTCCGAGCGAGAAGCGCTGGACACCCAGGTCCAGTCTCTGGAGGAACAACGCGAGGCTCTCATCATTCAACTGGACTCGACCCGCTCCAGACTCTCCGAGTTTGAGCGCTCGCAGTCGGAGATTGACTCCATGCGGGAGGAAGTGGGACACCAGCAGGAGCTGCTGCGGGAGAACGCTGGACAGGAGATGCAAGGTTCCTGTCGCTCTCGGGCCCGCAGCCCGCCCAACCCCAATGTGTTGTCCTACCGTTTTGTGTTTGTGCCCCTCAGTGTTTTTATTGGGGCATACTTGCTCCGGCGATGGTGGCTGAACTCGGAATAGTACACACTCTTTCTTTTATTGCTATCAAAACCCAGGGTCTACAATAAAGGTGAAAGTAATTTCTTTCAAGTGAACATTGTAACAATAATATCATCTGCCAGAGACACCAAGGAATTTTGTCTTCGATGTCTTCTGTGGGTTTGATTCTCTAGTAGTAGTGCTTCTGACTGTAGGACATAAAGATGTAAATATCTGGGATAAAAACTTCTAAATTATATATGAAAATGTTTTTGCTTGGTCTAGTCAAGCCAGATTGTTGATAAATGTTGAAGTCAGATGGTCAAATTATTAATTTTAAATCACAAAATTCAAAAGAGTGCTATTTTTCTGTTCAAGCCATCTTTGTCTTGGAATGTTGTTTTTTGCTTGTACATATGGCAGAGTTTATGTGGTTTTATTTAAATGTTTCAAGGTGTGTTAATTGTATTGAGTAGTACAATAGAACCTGTTCCGCATGACAACTAATCGTTTACTTCCTAAAAAAAACAAATTTTGCCTGTCCACTTTCAAGTGGTCAAGTCACTAAAGTTGTGTATAAAATGCAAAGTGGTTACTTTCTAAACTCTAAGAGAATATTTTTACTTTTCATGGTACTTTGACCTCTTTTTACAGAGACATAGGTTAAAGTTGACATTTATTGCTTCAGAATGGGTTCAACTGTATTTGAAATTTAAGCAGTACGTTTGACTGTCCTCTGAATTATTATGTTAAATGTGATGTTATGTAAAGTTGTTTTTTGTTCTTCTTTTTGTTTTTTGTTAATTTTTTTTTTGCATCGAATACTTTTTTTGATTGTTTTGAGTTTGATTTCTTTCCACGGTATGTTGGTAGCAAAGCATTTAACCAGGGTCTTGCACCAGCCTAATTCTCTCTAATTGTAAGCATTTTGTTTTAACTGAACTTTTATTTAATCTGAGAACAATCCATGTTTTCTTCTATTAGTAATTTTTTTTTTAAACTGCCTTCTGTGTGGGTTTTTTTTTTCTGTTATGTTGGCAGTAGTTTAAGTAATTGGTTTCAAACTTCAATGTAGTTGTTCCTGAATCAAGACTCTTATATTGTTGTCTTTCATGAAGATGAGAGCATTCTCAGCAGCTGTTATGATGGTAGCCAGAACTATTGTCAAGCGTTCTCTGAGCTACTTGATATATATACTTCTGTATGTATGCAACTCCATTGCAAAACCTCCACCTCACTTTTTCGGGGATGATGAATAGAATTGACTCAGACAATTTTTGATCAATAAAATGAGATCTGGATTCATTTTTGAGTGGAACTTGTTTTTATTTTATCACCAAATATATTTTAGAACTTTCTTATGGGTTTAAGGGTAGACAAATTGCTAACTGCATGAGTACCTTTACGCGGGCTGGCTATGGTCACCATTGTAATACATGGTGTGACCTGTCAGCCTCTGGTTATTTTTCTTCTCTGTGGTGGTTTTACTTGGTGATTATGGGTTTCATAATAATTTTTTTTTTTGGATCATCAATGTTTTCTAAGCTGTTTCAGCACTAACAGTTTTCAAGCCTTGAAACTGTTGCTAAGGTAAGAAATCCTTCCCCCCCCCCCCCATTTCAATCTACAAGTGGGCTTCAACTTTCAGAGCAGTTTTCAACTCTTTTTTTTTTTTTTTTGCCATATGAGGGTTTTTCTCTTCCAATTTCTTCCCACAAGGTTCTTTTTATTTGCACAACCTTATAAAACTGCAATATTTTTTATGAAAAGGAGTACTATGGGGTTGGTTATTTTTTTTGTATGTAAATCAATGCTCTGTTTGAAGCTTTTGGGATACTGTAGTTCTTTTTTAAGGTTATAAGATCATGTCTGAGTCATAGCAGCTATTTATTGCCCTTTCCACTCTGTCCATTTTTATATCTATCATCCCGAATCCAACCCTAAATCTCGCCCAAAAGCACACGTATCATATGCTTTATCCTCCTGCAAAATATTTTACTACAACACTTGATATTGTGGCTTGTATCAAGGCGGAATACACATAAAGTACGATGTTCCTGATAATTAGATGTGTAGCAGCCAGTCAAGATAGGGTTAGAATATGTCTAAAGAGAAAGGTTCAGTTTTTCAAAAAGTAGGGTGCCCATTAATCTTCTTTTTTTTTTTAACTGTCAAAATTAGATGATTGAATTGAAGAACCAGCAGTGGACCACCTTTGAGATCTAGTTGGGGAACACAAAGAAGGAGACTTTGACAATTCTTACCGTTGCTGTTTTTAAAAATGATATATAAGTTAAACCTTTTCCGTCTTTTACTATATGATGCTACAACTTTTCTTTACAGACCATCTGAAGTTCATGTTTGTTTGCCATATGCTGAATAGTTTACTCATGATATCTGGTCAAGTCTTACAGCTAGTTCAGTTGACATAAATGATATTCACATTTTTTTAAAGTTCATATAACTGGCTAAATTATGTGGCTAGATTTGACATGTTACTTATTTTGGCTGGCTATTCTACATGTTATTTCCTTCCGTCTTGTCTAAAGTGATATGTTTAAGTTTTAGTTCAATGTTAAAGGTGAGTTCTTTCTTCAGATGTCAGGTCTTTTCTTAAATATGTGGAAAGGGCAAGTCATATACCTGTAGATGCATTTGTAAATAGCTGATACTCATTTGGCATAATTCTGTCGTGGGATTTTTATTACTGATCAAAATATAGTTTGGGGGGTAATTGTAGTGTATTAAAGAGCTTTTTTTTTTTGGAGGAAGACGTCACAGGTGTCATCTTGATGCAAGTCACAAAGGTGGAGGTTTTGCTTTTCTCAAGTGGAGGAAAGTCATACAGATTAGATCCTGGTTCAATGCTTTTTTTGTCCTTTGTATGATTTGTATTCTCACCACCACAAGCTTTTTTCCCCTAGTATGCATGCACCCCCTGCCCCACAAGTTTTGGAGTGGTAGAGTTTTACTACTGAAACGAATTATTAACAAATTGATGATCGAAATATTATGTTTGCATAAAAAAACAGCATGCAAGCAGCTTGTCAGTTTTGTTTCTTGCTTAAGAAAATAGTTAGAACATTTATTTACATTACTCAAAGCTCATGCAGGTTTTTGCTTTACTTTTACATGGTTGCTAACCAGAATGCAGCATCTCCTGCCCCTTGCCCCCTTCACTCCTACCCCCCATCCCTTTATAAAAATTTCTTTTCTAATACCCTTTTTTTGAGATTTTCGTTTTCACAGTAAGAGGGACAATAATATATTTTTTTTTTTCTCAAATTGTAAAAGATTTCTGGACCCAGTTTTTCATACTAGGATCACTTAAAGTGCATGAAATATAGCAGGTTTGGATGAAACAGAAATGGAAAAAGTGCCGATAAGACAGAACATTTTACTTGGCTTTTTTTTATATTCAGCATTATGAAAGCATGTTCCCTGTTTCATTGAATTTAATAGCTGTATGGGTAAAACATTTGCTCAAGGTGCACTCTAAAACAACATTAAATCAGGCATTCTGTTACCCCTTAATAATGTAAACAAATTAGAAAACTATGGTCTTTTTTCTGTAGATTCACCACTGAATAAGTGACCAGTATTTGCACGATAATAATTTAAATTAAAAGCAATTATAAAACATATGCTTTCAGGAGTGTGTGAGTATAGAATGAGGCTCAAGACCGAAAAGGGATCTTTGACTCTGACTTCAGAAGAATATAGATGTTGAATCATAAGTTGCAGGATTTTAAAATTTATATTTTCGGTTTTCCTTACGAATTTACTTTTTTCATTCTTGGCAACACTAAATCAGGTACCCAATTTACATGTCAATTTTTTGGTGTTTTTAGGACTTATAGCATTATTTAGTACAGTTTGCTTCTTAACTAATAAAAGACAAAACTCATTAAGACAGCTGCATGTTTGCCCCACCCTGAGTGATCCCCCCCTCCCCTGCCCTCCCCACTCACATTTGCTTGCTGTAGAGATTCTACCCCAGATCTGGTGTTGTTTATTGTAGCTATTGTGTCATCAGTGGTCACATTCGCCGCCGTTGAGCATGATGTCTGTTGTCTTTTGTGCACAGTTACTGGACAGCAAACTCCTCAGGCTACGACTTCAGAACAGCCAGGTTTGTGCCTAGCCTACCTACCACGTACCCTCTGTAAAGATATGTCAATCGTAGACCTGCCCTATAATGCTGTTTGCGTCAATCCTGGGTTCTTTTGCTTTACAGCGGAGATCCATCCCCTAGCCTTTAGTGGGCTACAAACAACCCGCAGCCTCTTCTTTTTGTTACAGCCCTTCCCTTTTATTTTTCTTACTCTCTGATTAAGGCTGAATATCAACAACAAACTTCTGCCTTTTCTTGCCCCAATCCTTTTGAGTTACATTTGTTCAATGTTGTGGAGCTTTATGCCTCTGCCCGGCATATTTGCCTTGGTGTTTGATGTTACTGTTACAGAAAAGAGTTTTGACACCCGTTCCTTTCTCCCTGAGTGGTTCTTGAAATGTTAATTTTTTATTCATAAGTGGGGGTCAGTCGAATTAAAAGAGTTTGATTATAGGAGGAGAATATTCACAATTGGCCTTTCCTTATTCTGTTCATCACTACATCATCATCATCATCAACATGGCTTTCCTTTTTTTTTTACATCAGCTTCTATGTTCTTTGATAAATTACGCATAGTGTGCATTGTTGTACACTATTTCATCATCTTCATTTTCATCATTTTGTGCTAAATCTTTAAATAGCTTTGGCTGTTTCAGCCCTTCATTTATCTTGAGCAGCTGTTCTGAAATTCCCAGGTCCACCATCCTTCATGTCTTTTTTTCTCTTATTTGATTTTGTTCATGGAAGGTATCCTCATCATTGCTCTACGCTATCTGCCGATTAGAGTTTTGCCCTCTCTGGTACTCCTTATTTTAGTTCTGCATTGACCTGACACGTACTAGCGTGTGTGATGTAATGGTTAGGCTCTTCATTTCAAATACAAGGTTAGTTTTATTTCTAAATTTGGAAGAGATTATTTTAGCTCTGTCTCTCTGCTGGGATGTGATCTGCACTATTTGGGAATCGCACTGATTGACAGGGCTTAAGCATCCCCACTTTCACCTATATTATCTAAATTTCTAAACTACTTCCCACAAAATTACCTTTTCTTGACTTTTTCTTTCACTGCTCCATTGTACAAGTATTAAAAATTCTCTTGAAAGTTCAGGCCAGTTGTGCAGTTGTCCGGGAACTTTGGAATTTTTTTTGGTCATTGTTTGTTGTGGTCTCTGCATAGCCTGAACAGTTATGTCAGTAGAATAGTGAGTCTGCATGTAGCACTGTAGACCTTGCCAGATTGTGGTATCGTTGTGTTGCATGATTTCATGGGTGTTTCTTGATATAAGGTTCCGAACCTTTCTTTGTTTTGGCGTCTTCCTGACTGCGTACATGTGTGTGTTATTCATTGGTGTTTTATTTTGGTATGGAAATAACCAGACTGTATAAGTTTTGTATACAAGTCATGACCCTGCTTCTGTTTATCTCATAAAGTTTGGAATGATATTTACCAGCAAAGGAATGTGCAGAAAGGTAACAACAGAGGAGATTCATTGCTTTTGCAGTCATAGAAATGTTTCAACAAACCATAATGGTTTTCCTCAGATAATGTAAAATTCTGACTTTTTTCTTTGTGGGGATTTTCTTTTTTTTTCTGCACCATTACACATTGAGTGTAGTTTGCACATGTGTGGTTTGTTTTGATTTTTATCAAACAACTGGCTTTCATTTCACTTTAAGTCCTTTCTTTTTTTCAGTTTTCTTATTTTTTATTTTCTCACTTTACCTCTGTGCTTGACGTAGTTCTGTACTTGACAGTTCTGCCTCTTTTCTTTGAGTTTTGCACTGTGTGCACGAGTGAAAATGAAAAATAACACGTAATTTACCCTAAACCGCTACAGTCATGCAACTTCTCAGCTCTTTGATATCACCCTCTTTCAGTTTTCTTTTGATTACTTTAATAGTTTGAGATCCCTTAACTCCTTTCCCAGTGACTCTAATGTGTGCAGTTTTTAAAAAGTATGTTACTTTTGTTGGTTTTCTACTTTTACTGCCTTGCAGTTTAAGCATTTTCCGTACTTCTATCTTTTTTTTTCTTTTTCATTTGTATTTTTTCTTCACTCTCTTGAATGCTCTTGTTTGTTTTTCTATAAAGTTTCTTTGTCTAATTTATCAATTTCTGAAAAGTTTTAGATTTTGTTTCATACTAAAGTACTGCTGAGATAGTCGCATTTCTTTTTGTTTCTCATATTTTTAGACAACAATTTCTTTAAAAATCATTGTGTTCATCTTTGCTTGTTTGATATTTCTGAAAAGTTTCACACTGTCTTTCTGTGAATTTTATTGTTTTTAACTTTTGCTGTAAGTGTGCTGTGAGCCTTGTATACATAATAGCTTCATATTTTTTTGTGAAGGCAAAAGTCGTGTGCAGGAGTCATGTGTCTGTACTTATACATTGTAATAGATTCTGCCTTCAGAATGTTTTCTTCCATTGTAATGACAAATGTCTGCTGCCCCCTCCCCCCGTGCCTACCTTGTGGCCACAACTCCCACCACCAACACCCAATCCCACAGCTCTGCTGCAAGAAGTGACCAGCCTGAACCAGGAGAAGCGGGAACTGTCCACGCAGCTACAGCACCAGCTGGACGCGTCGCGGCTGCGGCTGACGGAGCTGGAGACAGCCTCGGAGGAGGCGGAGCGACGCCACGAGGCCGCCCTAGAAGAGAGGAACCATGCCCTGGAGGACATGCGGCTGCAGCTGGAGAACATGGAGAGACAGCTCAAGGCTAGCCGGGCGTTTGTCGATGTGAGTGCCGTTGCTTTTGGTCAGACTTTATTACTCAGCTCTTATAATAATGATAATAATATAATAATAATTACTAATAATAATGATAATAGTAATAATAATAATAATAATAATAATAATAGTAATAATAATAATAATTTAAAAAGCCCATCTGTAAATGTCTGACAATGACCAATACATGTGTAGAGAAAAATATTTCTCCAGCGAAATAGAAGAATTTGAAGAACTAAAGGTGACGATGACTCTAATATGTTGGAAGTTGGATTGCTAAGGTGAAAACTGTTGCTCAAGTTCAACTACCGATTTCCTGAGAGACCAATGACTTTTCGTCAGTTAGTTTCTGGTTTCGTGGACACGCGGGTTAAAAAGAGCATATTATTGATGGAAAAGTGGTAACAGCTTCTGACAGTGCGTGCACAAACCATGATATATCTGATGCAACATATGTGTATTGAGGTATAGAAGAAGCAAAATGACCTAGGAGAAGAGAGAACCAGCCATGCAGTGCAACAGCTGGTCAATTTCATCAAGATTTTGGGAATCTATCACTGTAACCCTTAACATGTTAAGTTTCATGAAACGGCTGAGTACACAATTTCCTGTAACTGTACAGCCTTTAAAGACTGCTGAAAAGTCTGGTCAATTCGAGAAGTAGACTCTGAAATGTGAATCAGATTGTGAAAAATTGTACTGTTATTTGGGTGTAAATTATAACTCTTCAGATCAATAATTTGAAGTAGCCAAGTGCGTCAGGAGCAGTTTTTATTGATGATGAATGTTCTTGTTGGGGGGGGGGGGGGTGTTGTTGATTTTGAGAATAATCTGATAGGTCAATGCGATGTGTGTGTATGTGTGGCTTTTATCCTACGTGCGTGTGTGCTGCTTTTGGAAATTGATAATTTGAAAGTAGTCAGCAACACATGTGTATAGCCGAGTGTTTTGTACACAGCAGTAGTATAGAAAGTTGTGTGTTGATCAGATTCAAGGAGGTACTCACTTTTTGGACAGACGAAAAGTCATCAAGCTCTTTCAATGACTTATAAATTCTTGAATTTTCTTGTTGGCTACACCAGCTTCTGATTGTTTGTGATGGATATATTTTTTGTGTATATAAAGGTGATTGTTATGCTCTTAGTTCTTTACTCAGGAATTTTCTTTACAAGTTTTTTTTACTTTGATTGACAATGTTGTTTTAGAGGTCAATGTATGATCCCTCTTCTCACTAGCAAAAATAAAAGTGGTGGAATAATATAGTATTGCACTTTGGTTTTTTAGATGTTCTTTGTATCATTTTTTCTTTGATGTATGCTACAGGCCTTCTTTCCATTTTAAAAAAAAAAATTTTTTTTTTTAGAGGCTAAAACAGCACCTGGACATGGATGGCTGGTGCCACTATAAATAAATCATTGATGGTCTGGTCTTTTTTTTTTTTTTTTATTACTGTTGCCCATGCCAAGTGCTCCACTTTCAAATTGACTTTCTTTGTTTTATTTTGTAGTTACACTCCTGTATCAAAAGAAACTAAGGTAGCAAAATTTGGTGAGGAATTTGTTGTCTGTAATGATAGTCAGGTTGTTTATATATTCTTCTATTTTGTCAGGAACAAATGGCTGAGAGAGAGCAGGAGAGAGAGGAACATCAGAGAGAGATAGAAAGACTGCAGGAGACCATTGAGGGGAAGGACAAGAATGCAAATTCACAGCAGAGACTCCAGAGAGAGGTATTTAAAGCGAAGCGAACTCTTGTCTTTACATGTTGTTTTTGTTATTTCAGCTGTCTTTTGGCTCTAGCTCTTTGGCCAACCCGTAATCTGTTCTGAGCTGAAGTGTTCATTATCTATACTGTCCTTTTGGCAGGTGGTTGGAGATTTGCATTAGTGCATCCTTTTTCTTCTCATGGGCTCTCATATTTCTATCTCATGTTTCCCCTGCACTGAATAACCAAAATCATGTCTGTATGCTTCTCATTAGTCCGATTTCTATCCGTTCCTCTTATTGGTAAGATTCACAACCATGATATACATTATTTTGTTCAATTAATGATAATTTGTCCCCACTGACTATGTCAAAATTCATCCACAATTTTTCAGTCCAATTTTTCAATACTGCGGTGGATAATGGGTTCTCAGGTGTGGTTTGCTCCATCTTTCCTGTCAATATCTATCGTCTTTAACTCTCTTCCTATTCTTTGTATGTTACTCTCAAGTAACACTTCTAATCTTTGGCACTTATATGACCTATATGTGTTGCATGTGCTGTAAAACTCTTACTAAAAATAAAAAAATAAAACAATTTCAATTGCTCTCTTGTCCAGATTGCTGACCTGACAGAGCAGCTTCAGTCTCGCATCACCAGCCAGAGTGCCATGCATCAGAGAACACTGGAACTTCAGCAAGCTCTGGAGGACAAAGAACTCAGTGCTCATGACCTCAAGGTGGGACCTTTGGAATGAACTCTTGAATGTTTTATTCCTGTTGTTTTGTGTCTATCTTTCATTCTCATCTGTGGATGGTTTCGGTGAACTGTACCGTCAAACCTCTAATGGACCCCTGTCTAAGACAAGTCACCTGTACAAACAACCACTTCCCAACCAACCTCCCTCCCACCCCCTACCCACTTGCATTTTTTAGAAATTATAATGACACTGTTTAAGATGTCCACCTGTCTAAGACGTTCACTTTTCTCCTCTAAAAATGGATGGCAGTCTTGGACAATTTCAACTGTATATGAAAATGATAAAACCTTGCATTTTTTCTGTCCAATATCTACACTGTGTGGATTCTTTGCTGTCTGTTCTGTTTGTCAGGCCTGTGTCTACTCTCACTTGTTATGGGGAAATGTGTGTATCGTGACTTAGGTGTCTGTCAAAACATTTCATGTTCATATTTTCCTTTTTGAATTGTGACTGTGAATTACTGGATTTCTCTGTCTCTACAAACAAAACAATTATTTTATATTTCGGTAACTAATTTTTGCTTTCTTATATCTTTCTTTGGCATTAATCTACCGCGGCGTGTCCAGTTGCCTTCTTTCTTCAAAACAATCCTGTACGTCAATTTTTCACATGTATTTTTGCCTAGGGATGCTGCTGAGCAAGAGTGACACAGCAACCTGTTGGTTCTAAATAATCATATAAAATTAGTGATAATGAATGCTAAAGAGAGAGTTCATTTTTTTCATGTATCATGCCACATTGAATTAGTATTATTATTATTACTGTTACTTTCACTATTATTTCAATTATGGAAACTATGAATATTATGGTTGGTGTTGTTATAAATGTTATTATTATTACAAAAATCATCATATAGTTTTGCAAGCTATTGAAATGCACAAAGCCCAAAAAGCATAGTTCTTTTAAACAGCTGGACAGTGATATATGTGAGGCGTGTGCTGACAAAATGAGTTACTTCTCGCAATCCACAAATGGGGGTATTGGCCACAAATCGATCGACATTAGACTAAAATCTATAGATTTTCTATTGATGCCATATTCTTTAACTATAACCTGTCTTTTATTATTTCATACTTATTAATTCTAAAAACTTCACCTATCTATTTACGTAAGGCTTGAATCTGAGAAGTAACTCATTTTATCAACACGCTTCACAAATGAGTAATGTATGTGACTCAAACTTAACAATGTGCACCCACTGTGGGTGGTTGGTGGATGCTCTGGTGTGGTTTGCCCCTTCTCAAACATCTATCGTCCTTATCTCCCCTTCTTCTTTTTTGTGTTTGTTCCTCTCTTGTAACACCTCTAATCTTCTGGCGCTCATGTGACCTAATGCAGTTGCGTGCGCTGTAAAACCTCTGCTGACCCCCCGGGGCAGTGCCACTGACTGTAGTGCCTTTAGGCCATTCCCAAAGAGGAGACATTTCTCGTTCAAGCACAGTAGAATTGTAAATAGGCTAATTCATCATGCCACGCTCATAACTGTGCCTGATCTACAACAGGGAACTGCTGCTTTTTCTTTCCTAATCCTAACATATGTTCTTTTTTCCTCTACTTCGTTTGTATGTTTGTCACACTCTTGTGACCCGCTATTTCCGGGGTTCCTTGATAGTCGAAGCACACCTTGTGCTGTTGAAGCTAGAGAGGTGAGCAGTCTAACTCTAAGTCTGATTCCCAGTAAAGACTTCTCTGTTGACACCCACCCCTTGGCGCTCATATGACCTTATGCAGTTGCGAGCGCCGTAAAACTCTCAACTAAAAAAAAATATATTTTTTAAACCAAAAAACTCTACTACAACTAAAACTGCTGACCTTTCCCCTCAGACGTGGGTGTCGCAGCTGGAGAGTGAGCTGGACGAGCGCGGGGACATCGAGGACCAGCTCAAACAAAGGATCACCAAGCTGGAACGGCAGCTCACCGAGCAGGAGGACGAGAAGGACCGGGACGAGACCGAGGATGACGAGTTGGCCAGGGCTGGACGTCCGACGGGTGACAGGACAGACCAGGACATCCCGACCCCGCTGTCGCCGGTCAGAGTGAGATCTCGGCCGAGTCATGTCTCCCTGGAGGATGAGCTACACACTTCGGAGCAGTCTGAGGAGGTAGGGGGTCTTTGTGTTGCTGTTGTAAAGTGCAGAGAGTTTTGCTTTCAAGTGGGGATATGCGCTATACAATTGCTATCATTTATTATTATTATTATTATTATTATTATTAATATTATTATTATTGTTATTGATATTATCATCATCATCATTATTATTATTATTATTATTATTATTATTGTTGTTAAAAGAGCAGTACAGCACTGTAACCCTTTGTGATATTTTGCTCACTGCTTTCTCACCATGACACTTTTGTGACGCTTTGCTCACTGCTCTATATTCCTAGTAAAACAGTTACAAGAGATGTGAGTTATCAATAGGAAGCAGAATGTTAGAACATGATGTATTCAGCTTTTTAGATTGGAATTGATTCTTTCCCAATATTGGCGTGGGTCTGATTTGTCACTCCTGTCATGTAAATGTGCGGACTGTTTGATATAATAGCTCTTAATTGTTATGATGTGATGACCATCAAACCAACAAATAAATTTTGGCCAATATTTTTGTGGGGATCATTAGAGAAAGCAGAATATTTGCATACTTTTTCCCTTGTGTTTTAAATTTCAGGAATTATTTCATGTTGATAAAGCCTTCAGTGTATGAGATCAGGGGTCATTCTAGCCACCCGTATCAGTTTCTGTTGGTAAAAGTTACTTAGTACTCTTCAGGCCAACATGTCAGAAGGAAAAGAAGTATTTAAAGCAATTTTCTGTTGATACAGAAAATAATGTTTGTGCTGTTTTTGTCAACAATTCATGTCTGAGATGGAACATGTATCTTGATAAGCCTATGCTCATCTGAAAGTGATGGATACGTGGACTTCTGGATATAAATAATAACAACAGCAGGCTCTATGCGCTTTACACTATATTATTACCCCAGCAGACCATAGAACACTCCGAAACATTCTCAGCTTCCCGTGAAGCATACAGTGCAAGCAGCTGATTAAGCGCTCAAACACTAACAAACTGACAAGATCTTTCGCTGTCTATAGCCGGGTACCCATTCCACCTGAGTGAAGTGAGGAAAATTCGTGTAAAGTGCCTTTCCCAAGGACACAACGTCGGGCCCCTGACGGGATTCGAACCCAGGACCTTACGGTTGCGAGTCCGAGAGCCTTACCACTAGGCCACTGACGCCACATATTATATATGACAGGTTGAAGATGGTGTGGGGAGAGGCCAGCTATCAGACTGACTTTTTTTCATCATGTAAAGCTATTTCAATTATTACTTGATTGTCCTTACTGCTTCATCTTTCTCTGTTGTCTTGATATTGGTGCAGTAAAAATGATTTGATTCGTCCTACCCAAGCTGTCGTTTTCAGGACTTTGATATTGGTACAGTAAAATAGATTGGTTTTCTCCAACCCGAACTCTCTGTTCCAGGACTTGATCCATGAGAACCGGGCCCTGAAGGAGCAGGTGCACCAGCAGCTACTGCAGATCTCCGCCCTGAAAAACCAGCTGGACCAGTTGCGCCACTACGGAGGGGATGATGAAGACAATGACGCCACACAGCTACGACTGCGGCTTCAGGCAGAGAGGAATACGGTGGAGAACAAAGATGCAGAGGTGAGAGTGTCAAATGAATTGAGGTTTTTCTTTTGTCTCTTTTTTTACTCAAATGAATTAATATTTTTCATGTCTGTTTTTTACTTTGAAGTATCAGCATTGGTGGTTATAAATAATATTATATCTTTGTTTTTTTATATCTGTATAGCTGCAGTATGGACAGTCTTATACTTTGGTGTAACAAAAAAAAAGACGTTCTGCTAGTTTCATCAGTCCTCAGTTTTACTGCATAAACTGTCATTGACTTTTTAGCTTTCTTTTAAACAGGCCATTCACTTGGTTTCTTCATACCTTGTTGTATTGTTAAAAACATTGAAGTTTTGACTGTTTTTAGGGAGAGGGTGAGGAAGGTGAGAAAATAGGCAGTTTTGTAAATACTCCTTGTTTAATGCTTTAAATTTTCTTTTTTTATCTTTTTCTTTTTGTCCTGTCAGATCTCTGATCTTCAGTCCAAGACAGAAGCGTTGGAGAATGAGTTGAGACGGAAAGCTGAGGAAGCTGAGGCTATCCACGCTAAAGTGTCTCGTGTCCTTGAGATGGGCGATGTCCAGGAAGAGAACCAGAGCCTGAAGGTTAGTCTTTGGTCTGGTTCAAGCTAATCTGAAAGGTTGGTCAGAGGCCCGTGTCAAGCATCTTTTTACAAAAGTTGGACAGCTGCAACCTTTTTATGTTAAAAACTTGTAAGATAAGATAAGATTATATTTTATTGTCCCAGTGGGACATTTTTTTGGGCCGTATAAGAATGGTAAACACATATATAGGTATACATAAATAGAATTTAAATTATACATTACTGTTATTAAGATTCAATATGAAGAGAAAAGTAAAGCAGACTATAATAATACACATTTCACGTAAGATGCATCTTTCAACCACATGCATGGATATTTAAAGAAAAGGAATTGATTTAATTGTTTATATATATGACCTTTTTTTGTGAAAAGTCGGAATGCTTTCCTCATTGACTCTGTTCTATGATCACCGTGAAAAAATGGGTCATAAATCGCATTACTGTATTCATGGGCACCAGCTCTGGTAATGAAGTTTCCTTCAAGTGTTTATGTCAATGTTGGTGTGACTTAAGCTGAAAAAGTATTGCAAGGTGCTAATCCCTTCTTCTGTCTTTTTTACAACTTTACCAAAAAAATTGCTTGTGCTTCGTCTCGATTTTCATTCCAACTTTGTCTTTATCGTTGTTCCATGACACATGTGGATCAGTGGTTGATGTGTTACATCTTTCCAGGACGTCTTTCTCGATACTTTTATTTTAATTTTGTTCTTCCTTATTTAGCTTTTTTCTTAATCATTTCCCTTCAGTCATTCTTTACTGAATTTTATTTCTGACCCTGCATCTCTTCCTTCGTGTAGGGTTGTTGGAAGACGCTACTGATTATTATGAGATCTCTTAGACAGCGAAAGATCTTGTCAGTATGTTAGTGTGTTAGCGCCTATAAATGGCAGCTTACACTGTATGCTTCCAGGAAGTTGAGATTGTTTGGGAATGCTATCAGGTCTGCTGGTTTAATCATGAAGATTGTAAAGTGCATAGAGCTTGCCGTGGAGCGAGAATTTGAGCTATACAAATGCTATGTATTATGATTATTAGATCCTACTTCTTTTCTTTCCTTCCGTTATTTTTATTGGTCTATTTTGCTTTTTGCCTGGACTGAATGGGTGATATCATTTGAGTGTACTTCTGTTTATTGAAACCATGAAACTCTTCCTTCCTACATCGGTGACACGCGGTTTTGGTGGCTGATCACTTGGGTGTGTCCTTGAGCAAGACACAACAACTTTAGCTAAAAAAAACCCAGGACGCTGCACAGTGGTGACCAGCAATGGCATGTTTGTGAAATTCTTCTGTATTGGTGTAGTATATTTTGTATTTATGTATGTACTTGTGTATGTATTTATAATTATGTAATTATGTTAGGTATGTTTACCATGATAACCCAAACTGCCCTACAAGGATCAATAAAAATGTAATCTATAATACTTTTTTTTTTATGTCTCCCCCTCCCCAGAGCCAGTTGGAGGAGCTGCAGTCCCAGGTGTCCAACATGTCCAGCCTGTCGTCACAGCACACTCTGCCGCCCGCTCTCCTGGAGGAGAAGAACCACGAGATAGAGGAGAAAGTGCAGGAGGTGGAGAAGCTGCAGGTGAGGACTCTTTAGGACAGTATAGTCGAACCTGCTCTAACAGTCACCTGTATAAGACTGACTTTGACTGAATACTTGTATTATACAATCTCGCGTATAAAGAGCCACTTCTCATTTTCCCCTCTTGCATTTTTTTTTTTACATTATAATGACACTGTGAAACATTCACCTTGTCTAAGATGGCTTGTCTAAATACTACGCAGGACTTTTTGTCTTTTCATGGTTTTTGACAAGATGTCATCTCTTTCCTTGAAAGTTCTCAAAAGAATTAAGTCTTTAAAAAGTGACACCTTTAATGTCTAACTGTGGGTTAACTTAACTGCTGGGCAGATATATCCCTGGTTCAAATCTTTGATAAATCAACCTAGGCTCAATGTTGTAAAATTAGGATCGCTTGAGTTTTCATTGCTGCACACGCTTTTTCCCATGTTCATCTCTGATTATTTTGGCCTTTTTTTTTTACTATGACCTGATATAACCTGTCTCCTTGACCATGGGTGTTCACAGGTCAATGTCCATTCCCTGAAGCAACAGCTGAAGGAAAAGGAGGAAGAGATCAGTGACCTTCAGGACAACATTGCCTGTTTGAGGCGAGGAGAGCCCTGCCTGGACGTGTCACTGCCACTCAACGAAGAGACCAACAACATGCTCAACATCTCCATGACGGGCCGAGTAAGTTCATGTCCCCATGTCTGTTTGTGCAAGTCAAAAATCGTTCTCAATGGTCCCTCCTAGTTGAGCTTTCCACCTTTGCATGTCATGATTATCTTGAAGAGATTTTCTTGATGTCTTATATTTTGCTACAAGCGGTGAGGAGGAAATTCTTTTCCTTCACATTATCATCTTTTAACTCCTTCTGTATGTACCTTTATCTGTCTTGGTATACTGGGACACCCGTCATGAGACTGGGTTTGGCTGAATACCATAATCAGCTTGGGATAACGGGGACGAAAACTACATGGCACCGTGATTGGGTGGTGATGCAACCAAATGTTTCTTGGAATGAGAATGTGTAATTTTGGGAAGGGGTTTTCACTTTGAGGGATGATTGTATCTGTTGATTTGAGACAAGCACAAATGTTTGTTTGCTTCTTGTGTTTCGTAGTCAGTGGTCAAGGTTGATGTTTGTTCTTATTCACTCATTTGTAAATGTATTTTTTTTAGGGGAGGAGGATTTCTGTTGGTCTTTGTTCTTATATGTCTCTTTCTCTATGTCTGCTTTTCCGTGGCTTTTGTTGTTATATGATTATATGTTGTGCCATGAACATACTGTGTGTGAATTGGAAAAGTGTATATTTTATTATTGGAAAGGGTATAAAATGCTTTTAACAATTGCAGGAAAAATGTGCTTTCATTAGTTTCTATCAAGTAAAGGCTTTGATGCATTTGAATTGTAGTGAATTGTTTAACAAAAAGGTATTTGTGGATGTCACTCGATGCACTGGTTTGGTTTCAAGCCCAATGGTTTCACATTTTAGAATTGAGTATGTAGTGTCATATTATATCTACTCACCATTATGATATCACTGCACTTGAAGTATAGCGAGGTAATATAAGTGTACTATCGTGAAACTCACAGGTAAATAATCTTGTATTATGTGTATGTACTGAATGTGGATTTGTACGTGTATCAGTATGGGAGCTTCTTTAACAAATTTGTATTTTGTTTTTGCTTGTTTTATTTGTGTTTTTCTCTCCCCGTTGTCATCACACAGACTAGTAGATCTGCCAGAGCGGTCACTCCGGTCAGTACCCTGTGCCAGGCTCTCTTAGCCACTCATTTGATTGTCTTGGTTAATGTTTCCAGTTTTGTTTTTTCTTTTGATTACTAATCTTTTATAACATAGCGTTGACGTCCCAATAAGTCTGGAGGAACATACATGGTTACAGCAGGGAGCCAGAATGGTTGCAATTCCTTTTGCAGGATTGTAATCCAATTTTTCAGTTGTAGTGGGTAACACCAATTCACTGTGGAGGAAATAAGAGGGAATGGTCTTTATTAAGTGTGATCAATAATGACAATAGATGGGAGCAAAAGAGAGAGCCTTTGGTAACTTTAAAGTTTCTTCTGTCAGTGTAAATTGCTGAATTGTTTCCATTTGCTTCATTTCCTACGTATACACATACATATTTTCATATATCTCTTCTATATTCTTAGCTGACATATATTTAAATGTATCAAGCATACAATGAGCAATGAGTTATAATCAGTATTCTGTAAAAGACCGGACAAATTGCATGTTTTGAGTGTTGCAGGAATACCAATTATTCAGCCTTATATATTATATTATGCTATCTCCGTAGGCTATATGAGTCGGCTTTTTACAATTTTCAAATGCATGAATTTATTTTTATAGGAAAAGGTGTTTTTTTGTGTTTCATAGCAGAGGGGAGGAGTTTTAGGTATTTAGAAAAACAAAATCTTGCTTTAAATTGTGAACTGATGTGGGAAAATCCTAGAGGTGGTGGAGAAGATTGTACTTTATGCAAGTCCATTTCCAGGCATAAAACCAAAAATTCTGTTGATAAGACATTGCATAATAATGTTTTAATGAACTTTTGTGTAAGTAAGAAAAAAATTGCGATTATTTACACACCTCCTAATGTTTGTCAGTGACTTCTCTTGACGGAGTCCACAGTGTATACACACAACTGTGAATGTGTTTTGCACCCTCCACACAAATGACACTTGCGCTGACAGTTTACCTTTCTATACTGAGCTTGATTTTCTTATTTTTGTCTTCCTCATATACTTACACATAAAAATTTTCTATCAGAAATAATAGCACAGTATTTTGTATGCATACTGTACCATACTTCATTTATGTTTAAAAAAAACATAACCTAAAAACATCAATCCTGCTCGTTTGAGATGAAATTATGATCTGACAAATTTTAGTGAAATAAAATAGTTTTTCCCATTTTAACACATATTTGTTAGAGAGATTTGCGGAGTCATTTTGGAACAATATTGGGTTTTGTCTTAATGCTGCTTGAGTGTGTGGGCTTGGTAGTTGTGTTGGCTGGAACAGCTGAAAGTGTACAAATATGGAGGGGCTTGTGGTGTGGGGAGACTGAGATTGAGTAGCGGAAGTGTTTACTGTGTTTGTGTGTTTTATGTTGTTGGTGTTTTTGATCCAGAGATGCATGGGTTTTTTACCCTTTGATCCAGTGCAGTGAATAGCAGTTGCTGTCTCTCTTCCTCTGTTATGTAGGTTCTTAGAGTTTATTCTCTTAGTTCGGTCTCAGAGGGAGAAGGGTAGCTTTGGAAATTGTGATTACTAGGAAGTGACATCTGGATATTAAAGCAGAGAGGCGAAGACATATTTTTTTGTATCTTTGGTTTGATTTATTCCATTTTTTTAAAACAGAAAAGAAAGATTAAAAATCACTTATGTTTGTATATGTGCATGAGTGTGTGTTTATGTGTATGTGAGTTTGTATTCATGCACAAGTAAGTGATGGGTTGGATGGGGAAGAGTCATCTCTATTTTTTGCTGTTGCCTTTGCTGAATTGTTACCTTGCATTCTTTTACAGCAAAGATTTTGGAAATCCACTAAGGTTGCACCTGTGTGATCAATCTGAAGTTTTGTTTTGTGGTAGAGTTAACAACGAACTGTGTTGAGTAACGGAAAAACGGTTAACAACTTCTCCTGACTTTGAACTCTCTTTTAATTATCACCTGATGTGGCTGTTCAGAAGTCTTTTGACTTTGATAACAAGAAAAGAAGACATTTGTGCCGACTATTGTGTTTGTTTGAAATTTGTGGTGGTGTTAATAATTGGTGGTTATTTTGAAAAAAAAAATTTTTCTTTTTTTTTTTTCCATTTATGATCCCACAGACTAACACAAACTATTTTCTTTTCTGTTATGTTATCTCTTCTTGTCCTCTTCATTCGAAAGCAGTAAGAATAGAGCATTGTATTATTAGTTTTCTAATCCACTTTTTCTCTCAAAAGGTTTGTGAAATGGGATATTTGCAGCTGACATCAGTTGTATTTTTTTCCGTCTTGACAATACACGTGTATAAAATTTGCCTGAAGCAGTGACAGATGCCATAAGAATAAATAGTTAATTGTTGATTATTGTGAGTTGCACAGAGGCTTATGGATCACTCCTCAGAGAAATTTGTAGGTAGCATCATATAGCAATCTACTAGCAACTTCTGTGTCTAAATAGATGAAGACTGTAAGAAGCTGTCAAGTCGTAGACGTGTGTTGAATGTTCAAGCTGTAGCCACAAGTGGAATACTTTGAACTTTATTGTGATGCACATGGAATATACTGAGAGCCGACCATTTTAAGAAAATATTAACTTTTGTTCTTCTTGCTCAGGCAGAGGTACTCTGTTATCTCTCGAGATGTCACTTTACTGAAGGCATAAACCTTTTATTGCTAATTTTCTGTTATATGTACTTTTTTTTTCTGTCCAACAATCTTTTTAAAACTTTTTGTTTAATTTTAATTTTTTACAATATTTTAGAAGGGGTGACCTTTACTTAGTTTTAGAATTCTTTGGAAATTTTTCTTGCAAACTACAGTAAAACTTTTTTTTAAACAGCCTATTTTATTAAGATTATAATTTCACTGTACTGTAGTTTTCTCCCTAGATGCTGTTTTGGTTTAATGCTCGAGGGGAGAGAACAAAACCAAGAACTTTTAGCTTTACTGTTTTCAAATCCGCAAACTCGGTGAAGATGTTGCCGTGCCTCATAGAAATGGATATTGACGCATAGGATATGCATGTGTTTGTCTAAAGTATGTTTATAGAGTTTATTTAAGAATTATAGTTCATCAGTTGTGTTTGGTTCTTGCGTTTTCATTTAAGTGGTGTGTTGGTATGTTTTAGCTTATATTATTCAAATTGCTGGGTGTGGTGAATGGCAACGTGGGAAATTTTAAAACGTTGGACAGAAAGAGGTTGTAAGATATTCCCACTGAAATACTGTATTTAACAGGGCATTCTTGAGCAGTTCTTATTCTTAAAGCACTGAATTAGCCCGCATGGTACTAAAATCCAAACCTGATGCTGATATTTATTTGTCTGCTGTCCTCATCATATTTTAAATGGTTAGAGATATTTTAACATTCTTGTGTTCATAAACGGTTAGAGATATTTTAACATTCTTGTGTTCATAAACGGTTAGAGATATTTTAATATTCTTGTGTTCATAATGGATATTTAAGTTTACTTTTGTGGGTGGTTGGCGGGTGCTTTAGTGTGGTTTGCTCTTTCTTTCCTATCAAATATCTATTGTCCTTATCTCTCCTCCTTTTGTTGTGTTTGTTACTCTCTTGTAACACCTCAAATCTGTGACACTCATATTACCTAATTGGGTTGTAAGTGCCTTAAAAAACGTATTAAAACTAAAACAAACAAAATGTTTACTTTCTGTAAAAAAAAATACCAGAAAAGGATCATTTGTTTCCTTTATTAGTTAAGTTCTAGCATATTCATGTTGTACTGGCCAAAAACTTGCACAGAGTAAGGCGAGAGTATTAGATGTATTATCGGTAGTTTCCCCAACTGACATTATACAATGACCTTTTTTTTTTTCTTCTAGTCTGAAATGAATACCCTTTTATTTTTTACTCATTTCCCGAGGGTGTTGTTAGAGATGGGCTGTTATTGTGTGAGAATGATGTTCTGATTTATTGTTTCTTGTTTTATCCTTCCCATTACAAAAACGGGAACAGACCAGCATTCAGCAAGAACTTGAAGATACAATGGCTGAACGTGAAACAGAGCTAAATGGTGTCAGAGAGCAGCTGGAGCAGACACGGCAGGAGCTGGATGGACTGAAGGGGTCGTTGAGCTCTGCAGAGCAGGAGAGAGATGAGCTGAAACAGTCCTTAGGGCAGTTGGAAGAAGAGAAGGAGAAGTGGAGTGAGAAAGAAATGGTAAGGACATTCTATAAGTAATTGCTGTTCTTATTATTGTTAGGTTCAAGTGTGTGGCCAGAACGCAGTAGGCTACTCCATTAGCTTAGTTGTTATTGTGCTTGACTACGGAGTGGATGACTCTGGTTCGAATCCTACCTTGGGTGTTCTTGAACTCCAGTCGTTTTGTGGATTTTTCAAAGCTCTCTACGCTTTTGGCTTGGTTCTATCGCAGACAGACTTTGAATTTGGAGGTCCCGTTAATAATATTGATAGGGCGTTAAACCCATACACTTTACTAATTTGCAGGATAAAGGCCATACTTCACCCTTTTTCATTCCTAATGTATATCTGTTGAATATGCTGTCAAAGACTTTGAGTGTATCTTTTTTGAAACATCCAATCAGTTCATTTTTCTTTTGGTTAAAGTTTGTGTTGTTTCTTTCTCTTTGTTTTTTTGTTTTTCTTATAGTTCTAATCTCGTTATACTATTTCCCTTATCTCTTAGCTGAAAGAAGCAGAGCTGGTCAAACTGACGCAGACCGCGGAAGAGTTGAAACAACAGCTGGAGGAGGGCACAAAGACCCGCCAACTTCTGGAGAAGCAGCTGCAAGACAGGGAGGCAGAGCTCCTTCAGGTACATCACGTTTTGAATGCGATTCATTTTGTATGTCATTTCCAGTGGGAGATGAAGTGATTCACACCCTGGTCTTTTTTAATTTCATTAGGCCAAAGGGCTAGAACTCATATGGCTGCTGGATCCAAAAAGTAAAGTTTCAATTTTATTTTTCTTATTATTAACGATCAACAATCGTAACTTTTTTTTAGCATCATGTCTTCTCTCTCCCCCCCCCCCACCTCGGTTCAAATGTCTTTTTTTTTTTTTTAAAGTCAATTTGAAAACTATTATATCTCAAAGTCAGAAAAATTGATTGTTTTTTGGGGGGTGATATTTGCAGGCCCAGGAGGAGAGAGACCGGCGACAGGAGCAAGTGCAGGAGAAGGAAGAGAAGCTGGACCAAGTCACGCTACAAGTGGACAGTCTACAGATGGAGATTGCTAGTCTCACAAACTTCCAGGTGAGCAGAAGAGAACATAACGTCGGCGAAATGTTAGAATCTTCTAAGCCCAAAATGTTAATTTTTTTTAAAATGGCAGTGTCTTAATCTTTGGTATTAGTTGCATGTGCTCCAGAAATATTTGGTTGAAATTCACATTCTAAATGTTGAAAAAAAAAAGATGAAGAAAAAATTCATAATGTAGGCACATTCGATAAAAGAATGAAACAGTTGTTTTTCTCTCTCCTGTAAAAGTTTGCTTTCTAGACTTAATACATTTGAACAGCATACTGAGGATAAAGTGTATTCCCCCTCTGTCTATGTGTGTCTTTGTCAAGGTAGGTCTCTCTTTCCTTGTGTAGGGTGGGTGGGAGCTTTTGTATAATCAGCACCATTTACTTGTTTTCAGTGTCCTTTTATCTTTCTGGTAAAATGTTTGCTCCCTTACAAAATCTCACTCCTTCGCTGTTATTTTGGTCTATATGTGTCTTTTTGTCTCTTTCTCTTTCTCACTTTCTGTCAGTTAGTCTGTCTTCTGTCATAATAGATTTGAGATGAAATTTGAAGTTATGGAAGTTTTTTGTTTTTTTTCCTTTTTTCAATTTCAGTTTACCATATTGCATAGCAGTTGGTTATATTCTCTACTACCCCTCTGTTGTTTCTAGTTGTTTTGATTTTTCTGGTTTCTAAATCTAGTAAATCGCCCTTGTTGTGTCAGCTTTCTTCATTTTAACTCGAACAAGCAAATGACAATCACCCTGCACTGCAGTTTTTATTATTATTTTTTTCTGTAGCAAATTCCCCCAGGTCCTGCTTCTGTTCTCTCTCCCTCTGTTGTTCCTGTCTGTCAATCTTACCGTTTGCACCTTCTTTATGGCCAATATTCTGCCCGTGTACTTCTCCCTACTCAAACTCAAACTTCGTCTTGTGGGTGGTTGGCGGGTGCTCTGATGTGGTTTGCTTCATCTTTCCTATCGAACATCTATCGTCCTTATCTCCCCTTCTTTTTTATGTTTGTTACTCTCTTGTAACACTTCTAATCTTCTGGCGCTCATATAACCTTTTGCAGTTGCGAGCACCATAAAACCTCTACTAACACTTTCAAAAACCTCATCTTGTTCCTGTGTGTCTGCGTCCACAGCAAGAGCTTCAGAAAGACTTTGACACTGTTCAGGCTATGTTAGATGAGAAAGAAAAGGACATGGAGAGTCTGACCAAAGAGCTGACTGACAGCAAATCCCAGCAGGAAACTCTGGACACTGTGGTAGGTTTCTTACCTCCGATTGTTTTAATTGTACTTTTCTATTTGTCTAGGTGGTCACTCTGCTGTGGTCTGCTCGCTCTACAGAGTGACTTGTCTTACTTATTCTGTTTCTTATGAAATGGGAATGTTATCATCAACACTCACTACAGACTGTATACATCCTTGATGCATTTTGATATCTTTGGCCTGAAGTACAGAACTGTGCGGGGTTGTTGGTTTTTTTTCTAAATGGAATTCTGTTATGGGCTGGGCCTCAATTTTAGCTCTGAAAGTGGTTTCAGTGTTGTGTAATCACCAAAATTTAGAGGTTTGAATGTCTTGAGTAAGATAAGGGATTAAATTATCACTAAATGATAATTGGCCTGGCCTGTGTGCATTAATAGAGGGGTAATTTAGTTGTTATGAATTGCAGAAAATAAAGAGGACTGTGCATATGCACTTCCCTAATTGTAGAATCTTTCATTTGTGTCTAAAAGTAATATTTCCTGTAGCTGGAACTGCGATTCTTTTAATGTTATTACATAATGTAAATATGGCTCTAAGCAAGACATTTATCTTTTTTAAACGGCTATACTTACTTTGTGTAAGATGTTCCGTCATCTTTACATAAAAGTAAAGAATTTTATGATCTTGTTGAGGAAAGAAAATATGTTGCTTTTTGTATACTTGCCTTCTTGCATGAACTTTAACAGTTTGTAGCTTTCACTGATGTTTATGGTGGGGTTTTCAGTAAAGGAACTTCTCCTGTGTTTGGTATTATCAGGGATAGTAAGGAGTTTTTGTATCTCTGCACATAAACCTGATGATACCTTGTTGTATCTCTAGGACTCATTGCGTCATTAAAAGAGATATACGTTACGTCATGAAAAGAGATATACCATACTCTTCTTGTTAGTCAGTAACATCTTTTGATGTACTTTTTTCTTATTAAACACAATCACACAGTGAAGATATACCTGCCACAAATGAACTTTTTTTTTTTTAAGGCAATTTTATATGTTTTAGTTACAGTTGAAATACTTGTTTTTGAAGAACCTGATACAGCTTTTTGAGACTGATTATGCGTACTGCTTCTCCTGTAGGACTACTTTATACGTGGTCTGAAGACAATTGTACCAGCATGTCATCGTTCCTCTTTACAAGTGATCGAAGACATGAAAACATGTTTAACTGTTGTTTTGATTTGTTTTATTATACGCAAATTACATTTTGATTCCTAGGATTAATCCATTTGGTGACGGGTTCACTCGCAACATCTGATGCTTTGCTTTCTGTTTCTGTTAGTCTCACCGTTAGATCACATGGTGATATATTTGGTTTACAGGTCCCGGCTTTTCAGGTCCATCTGCCTTTAAAATATTTATGGCCATCATTGATTTGTGGCCAAGACCATAGGTTATTCTGAGTGTATACTGGCTTGAATGTACACTTCATTTATGTACCATTTTCTTTGCTTATGATAAAGATTATTATTAGATACCTTTTAAGGTCAAATGTTTCTTTGCAGATGTTATCCTTGTTTCAGTATTAGTGAAAACAATTGGGAAGACCTTGTTTTTTCTTCACAGAATATTCTCTCTTTTTTTGTTATCCATAAAACTTCTGAAAAAATATTGTATAAAAAGTTTATCTTACAGGTAGCCATATTTAATGCGGGGTAGAAAGCAGGTTTTCCTGAATATCCAAGTAAAGCAAGATAAGATGAGATTTAATTTTTTGATTTTTATCCGGAAGAATTTGTTTGCTAGATGAGGAACATAATCATTTCTAATATGGGGCCAGAGCCATCACAATTTCTTTTTATGAAAAATGCTTTCTGATGAAATACATCTCATCCAAACACTTGACCATGGTGCAGGAGAACACAAGAAATAGTACCACCACACACCAAATACTGAAACCAGAATAAAAAATTGTTTTTGTTTTCTAGTGTAAAATCCTAGTTTTGTCTTCATGTTGACATTTTCAAAGATTGGATTGCAGTGTCTTTTTCATTTATCATTCTCATACAAAATGTGTCTAACGTAATAATTATTATTCTGAAGTGTTCAATGTTCCCCTTACATTTGAAAGGGGTCAACTGAACTGACTCTATGCTACCCTATATCTGTGACAAATGCTATTTGTGTTTTGAAATTTAAAGTGAATTATGCTTTTACAATTAAAAAAGATAAATAAATAAATAAATAAATAAATTACACATTATGGATCCCATGAGGATATTTGAGTTACAATGGCAAATATACATATAATTATCTTCACAAATAAAAAAACATACAAAGCAAACCGAATACACAATATTACATCAGTGCAGGACAATTGTACAAACATAACAACAACAAAAATTGAAGGAAATACAAACGTCAGGGACTGGAAGTTTTCTCACAATGAGATCCTTATGACATCACCTCGTGGTGGTGGGTGGTTGGAGGGTGCCACTGGTAGGTCCTACTTCTTTTCTTTCCCTCTGCTATTTCTGTCTGTCCATCTTACTTTTTCTCAGCACTAAAAAAATGACCATTCTTGTGTCGTTGTGCTTCTCTTCACTCAAACAAACATCACCTCATGGTCTGATCCATCGTGTCTTTCCTCTGACATTCACGCTTTGTACCCACACATCCCTGGAGCAGATTCAGCTAGAGGGGCTGGTTGCCTCACTGCGCAAAGAGCTGAAGGAGAAACAGAATGTGGTGGAGGAGAAAGAGGAGGAGCTTTATGAGCTCCAAGACAAGCTCGATGAAATGGTAGAGTCATCTGCTCTTGGCCATGCCGCTTTGTCTTTTGTGCATTTTGGTCGTGCCGTCCCACTCCTTTTGGCTATGATACGCTGTCGTGTGGTAACTTTAGCGTTGTATTCAATGGTAGAATGCAAACAACCAACTATGACCTTGGTCTAACAGTTTTGCTGTGAAGATTTTTGATTAATTGGTTTGTCATTCTTTTTAAAAAAACGTTTTTTCCACTTTAAACTCGAATAACTTTTGATAATTTTTGTTGTGTTTTCATTTACTGACAACCAGAACGTTTCATATTTCTACACTATTAACTCTTCTTTTCATTAAATATTTAAGAGAAAACATTTTAAATACACCTACAAGTCAAGCATGGGCATAGGCTACTGTATAAATGAAACAATGGTAATTATCATTATCGATGGTACATAATTTTAAGAGTTCTAATAACTGAATTGACCCCAAAGATAAATGCAATATGTAAGGGGCTCATTTATTGAGTGGATGGCACAGCATGGCATTCAATGTACAAGCAAGATTCTCAAGTACTCCAGTAGTGGCACTGTGTATTTTGTGCTGTGAAATCTGTCATAGCCCACGCTAGGCACAGCCTCCTTCTCTTACTATAAATCTGTTCCCTACATATTCCCGCTAGTCTTTACCTACACAGTCCCTCCCAAAATGCAACCCTTCCCTGCCTTCTGTACAGTCCCACCTTTTATTCTCTCTGTAAGGAAAATATTCTGGAATTTTATCAGCAGCTGTGTTTTTAGCTTTTCCCAGTAAATGCGTCTCCTTTGGGATGCTATTATAAAGCTATTTCTTATTTTGAGTCAAGAAATTTCCTGCTTTTTATAGCATCTGTTTATTTATGTCATCACAATAATTGTATGCAGACTTTTTTGTAGTTGTAATCAGTTAAAACTATTTCAAACAAAATGTACTGTGTTCACTGTTATTTTCAAATAAATGTTACCTTTTTAGATATTAAGACAATAATTCTAAAATTTCAAGTATGCTCACATGATTCCTTAATCTAGAACACTGGTAAATTATATTTTTTTCTCATCCTTTACTTTCTAAGATTCTCTAGTCTGCTGAGTAGCCTTTTGATCTTAATCTCATGTAGGCCTACCGATGAATTGTCCTCATAGGAAGGTCTGAATTATTTGCAACTGATTAGGAGAAGACATCCTGGTAGCTGGAAGCAGATTTTTATGATTAATTTGCCTATGGAACTTACTTCTCATCTGTCCATTATTTATTGGTGTATACAGTAGTCTCTGCCTAAGATCCTGGTGCTTTGGAGCAAGGAAAATGCATATCTTACCTGAGCAGGATTGCGCTCAAATCATCAAGGAGAAGAATCCACAGTGACTCATGGTCAGACCCACAATCAGTCAAATGATCCCTCCTTACTTTGAAGTGAACTGAAGTGATCACAGGGTGGGCTTATAATTTTGCAGAGCAAAGAACAGTTAACCTTGACACAAATATGTCATCTTAAGTTGATGAGGCATGCCATTTTCACAAAGCCAATTGTGAGTCGCAAGGTGTAGGTCGATCCCATTGCTCTTCCCTGCTCATGTCATAACGTACCATTGTGTTGTGACTGTACCAATTGAGATACAAAGAAAGGAAGGCAAGGTCAAGGCCAACAGATGACCACATAAGGCCAAGTCAGTCAGACAGTCCCCTAGTATGTGTACCAGTCTGTCTACTAGATGTGGGTGCTGAGCTGAAAGGCACGTGTAATGGTCAGGGAAACAAAGGCACCGACAAGTTCACAGTTCCATTTTATCCTGCCCGATATGGCCTTACCCATCAGCATGTGGTGTAAGTTCAGGCGGTAGGCGAGTGCGATGTTTGGGGGGGGAAAACATGTGTCATCAAGTTTACACCCTGGTGTGACCCTGTCTGGAGCAAACATTGGGGGCTTTTGTTCTGTAATTTATGATCAGAAATGTGGGATCTTTGCCAAATGTAGCCCTTCAGAGTGGGATGTTAGGGATAACTTTAGAGTTGTAGAAATCTTGTTTTCTTTAAACAGTGGGATCTTAAACAAACTGGTATCATAAGTGGTAGGATCTTAGGCAGAGACTACTGTATGTAATAATGTTCTCAGGGGCTACCCTTGTGCCAATGTCCTCTGTTTCCGCTTGCAGTGCACAGAAATGTGAATGTGGCTGAATCTTGCTTTACCTTGCACTGTCTTTCCTCCAGCCAACCTATTAGAGTTCAGGAAGAGTGGTTGGAGAACACTTGGCTTAGGTTCTTTCTCTACCATCCCTCTGTTATGTCTGTCTGTATATCTTGCTTTTCCCTGTGATATAGTACTGTTAATGAGTCAGTGTGTTTCTTTGTAACTCCACAACAAGCGAATTCAAGATTATGATCATTAATCAAGAGATGAAAAATGTGATTGTTGAAGATATACTGTACATTTGTGCTTTCCCTCACTTGACTGGCACAGGAGAACTTGATAGTAGAAAATAGACTTTGTTTTCCCACCTTGAAAAGTTTTTCTTGCTATTCAGATGCAGTGTGCAACATGCATGATCAGGCTATACACTACAGTTATGTTTGTTAACACACTACAGTTATGTTTGTTTGTACTCGCTCATAACACCCGCCCTCACCACCCCTACCCCCTTCAAAAATAATTTTAAAAACAAAGAAGCGTGCACATGCCCATCCATCTATACAAACAGTAGCAGCATTTCATATTCAATTGCTTATGGTCGGAGAATATTTCTTCAGTGATTTCATGACGAAATAATAAGTGTTTAAATGTTTACTTCAACCCCCTTCATCTCAGATAGTGCACAGTATAAGATCTGTCACATTCTGTAAGGCTTACTGAATGTTTTTTATGTCTCCCTTTTTATCTAATATTTATTCTGTTACTTTGTTTCGTGGCATAGCTCTTAACCTTAACATGCAAAACGTTTTTTTTCACTAAGGTATGAATTCAATTCCCTCAAAATTTTATTACAAGTATTTTCCGTGCTGTTGTATTTCCTGACTTCTTTCAGCTGGGTTTTTTTTTTTTTGTGTGTGTTTGTTTAAAAATATTTCTTCTTTTCTTTACTCCCTGAGTTAAAAATAGTATGATCTTTGCAACTGGTGAAACTTACAGAGTGGTTTGTGGTGAAATCATACTCATCAACTTGATTAAAACACACAATTCCTTCTATATTCACAAGCTGTAAGATTGGTACAAAAATATTAAACCAGTATAAACTCTTAGATTTATAAAGTCACTGAAAGCTCTTTATTTTTATCCATGTGCCATAAGTACCAAAAAAGAAGTTGTTTTTCTTACCATCTAATTGGCACTGTTTTGTAAGTCTGTTCTAAATGGATAATTTGGCAAAAGTTAACTTGTCATAAGTGGCAGAAGGTCACATCCAGCACCCCTTTTTGTCGATACTGTATGTGATTGGAGTTCTGCCTTATGAGTATTTTGCCTGTTATGAACTGTAACTTTAAAAAGAATTGTGAAAGCCTTTATTAAAGAGAATGCTTTTTACTACTACTCGTTGCTCCAAAGCATGGCACAAAAAGGTATTACCCCAAAGAATGTAGAGAAGGACTTAAGAGTCCTTTTCTGTGCAAAGAATGTTTTTGTCTAAGCCTTCCGCATGTTCTCATTTTATCACTACATCAATATAAATATATGAGTTGCTTTGGCTGATTCTCAAGTATATGGAGCTTATTTTATTTATAACCATGAGAGATGAATATTGCATGGGTCAATGTGGTTTTGTTGCAGGCCCATACATTTTGTTGTCCTTTATTCCGTCTTCATTTCGGGACATTTTGAAGTTAATTTTGCCACCCCCTCCCTTTCCCCCAGTTCACGCTCAGGGCATGTTTAACTCTGACAGAAAAGATTTAAAGATTGACACACACACACACCATAAACCCCCCTCCCCTTTTGATATTTGTCATCAGCTAATCAAAGGGTGATATTTAAGACTTTCAGGTTAAAAGTGGTGATGGTTGTCAGAAGTATGTGTTGCCTCTTTCCATCAATGAATCCTGTCCCTACTCCACTGCTATCTCTTCAGGGCGAGGCCAAAGGTGAGCTGGAGAAGATCAAATCCCAACTGTCTGAGCAGACACGCCTACTGGAGAAGGAGCAACAAATACGGAAAGAGTTGGAGGAAGCCTTGGCTGCAGAGAAAAGTTGTCGGGAAGAAAGTGAGAAGCAGAGAGAGGCAGAGGGGGAGGAAGTTGCAGAGAAGGTTCGAGTACTGGAGGGAGATGTGGAAGTAAAAGATAATAAGTTGAAAGAACAGGAAGAGAAGATAGAGGCCTTGTCGAATGAGCTGCAAGAAATACAGACACATTCGGAAAAACTTGAAAAAGTATTGAAGGAAAATAAAGAAAAGTCTGATTCTGAAATAACCCTTCTGCACGAGAAGCTGGAAGTTTCACAGAAGGAGTCAGGAACAAAGTTAAGTGAATTACAGGAGAAGTTGAAGGAGGAAGGTGCTCACACAGAGGGACAGAAGGTGCTGAATGAACAGCTCAGTAACTTGAAAGCTCAATTAGAAGATAAAGAACAGCTACAGAAACAGCTAGAAGAATTAGTCTCGGAGAAAGAAGGTGCAATCAGAGATCTTAATGTTCAGTTATCAGCAAAGGAAGAAAATCTTGATGAAATGAGATCAGTCCAGCTCCAGATGGAAGAAATGGAGTCCCAGTTATGTCTGCGGCAGACCTCTCTGCTTGATCTTCAGGCGGAGAAAGACAAGCTGACCTCTGAGCTTGAGAAGATGAGCGATATGAAGAGTCTGCTGGAGGAGAAAGAGCAGACCATCACGGAGATCGAAGCTCAGTTGAGATTCCGACAGACAGCCCTTCTTGATCTGGAGGCAGAAAAGGAGAAACTGTTACAGGATCAGGCAGAGAGTGAGGCAAAGTTGAAAGATGATTTAAATGAGAGAGAGAAGGTGGTGGAAGAGCTGCAAAAGAAGTATGATGAGCTGAAGGAAGGAATGAGCGAAGAAGTGCTGCATATGGAGCAGGAGATGCAAAGGAGTAAACAAGCACGGGTGATAAGAAGGTCGCCGGAGGAGGAAGAGAAGGAGGAGTTGGAAAAGGAGGAGATGAGAAACAGAGTACAGGAGTTAGAGACGAAACTGTTACAAGCGTCTGATGAACTTGTGGATGTGTCCTCCCGGCTGAAGCTCAATGAGGAGAGATTGTCCCAAACCGCGCAGCAGCTATCAGAACGGGAGGAACAGCTGCAACAGCTTCAGATTGAGGTGCAACTTCAGCAACAGCAAGAGGCTGAGAACAACAGCGCTCAGCAGCAAAAGTCTGCCGAAGCTGGGGTAAAAGCTGAAGAACTTGAGAGGCTGCTGCGTGAGGCCGAGGACAGAGCAGAACAGGCGTCCATCAATGCTGCAGAGTTGAGTCAGTTAAAGGCTTCTTTAGAGCTAGACCTGGAGGAGGTGAGGAGAAAAGAGGCGGAGAAATCTTTCACTTCTGCAGAAGCTAGAAGCGATGAGAGTTTGTTGGCTGGCACAGAGTTGTCCCGCATGGCTCGGTGGGAGTCTGAGCCAGCAGGTCTCGCGTTGGGACACCGAGACAGTTTCTATCTGCGTTTCCGCATGACAGAAGTCGAGCGCATGTCGAGACAGCAGCAGCAGGAACTAGCGGCCAAGAATCAAGAACTGGACAGAGTGCGGTCAGACCTGGAGACCTGGCTCAAAGCTGGCAAAGGTCAAGATGCTCTCAAGGTCACCATCAAGGTGAGTGACGAATGAAACTTGTGTGCCGATTTATATTTTTTTATAAAAAGAAGACTGCAACTAGGAGTTCTGTGTTTTAGCTTTATCAATTGTTTGTTGTTTTTTTTGTGATGGACATAATTCTTCTGTATGGTCTTCTTTTAATTCATGTTTCTGGCTGGACTTTCTTGAATGTGGTTCTGGTTCACCCAACTCAGTGATTCCTGTAAGTTCCCCTCCAACGGGTCTGATGTGTGTCTTTGTTTCTAAATTCCTTTCTATTCTCTCTTTTTGTCTCAACAAGGATATTGTTCTTTGCAGTGGATGATTTTCCCGTCTTTGTTCCATGTATATATGTCAAATTGTTGGGTGTGTTCTTTTCCATCTGTCATTTTTTAACATCGGTCTTTTCAATGTGAATCTGTAGTGTTGTGTTTATTATTTTTTTCCTCTTATCTTTGTCCACTTTTATTGTGACATTTTGTTTTTTACAAATTGGCAATTAATACACAACTCTGGTTTCTGTGTATCAGTTTTTCACAAACTTGTTTTATGGACAGCAGTACAAGTTCAGGTAGAGTATACATAGAATGCTCACATACAGTACTTAGACAATAGAAAGTAATTTAAATACTAATTACTCACCATGTTTCGTATATCTCTCAAGTTAGACTTCTCTGCTGCATGAGAAATCGTTTAGAGTAATCAAACATGAGGTGTTGGGTCTAAGAATGTATATTTTTGTTTTCTAACATGCACTCATTTCTTCCTGGAAATCTAGCTGCTTGACTACCTTTTTCAGCTTAATACGATTTTTCATCATAGTACAAACGTTCTGTCTCACAGGAAAAAGAAACCATCATCGTATCCCTACAAACAGAAATAGAAACTCTGAAATCCCATGTCGAAGAAAAGAATCGTCAGATCGATTTTATGAAAGACGAAATGAGCACCCTGACTCACTCAAGTCGTGTAGATCTGGCAGCAAAAGACCACACAATAACAGAGCTTCAGGAGCAAATCTATGTGCTCAAAAACTTCTCATCCGTGACACCACCTTCATCACCACCAAGGTCGGGAGCGACAGCGCCAGGGCAAGCTTTGTCCCCAGAAACAAAGGGGCAGATCTCACAGCTCAAGTTGCAGCTGCGGAAGGCTCAGTCTGGTGAGTCTTTTTCTTTGTATTCCCATGCTTGATGTCAGGGGTAGTTGAGTGCTAAAGAAACATATGTAACTGTTTTTACTACTTTAGCCACATTACGGTTTTGAAGGTAGGCTACTCTCTATATTTTTTTTAACTGTCAAGAGAATTTTGAGTTTTTGTAGGAATTAATTTTGAGTTTTGCCTGACCTACTCGTTGGACCACCACAGGATCTGATGAGCCACTATTTATTTAATCGAATGAAGTAGATTTTCTCAAACCATTCATATATTTCATTTTAATGTCTTTTGTGTAGGCCTAATGAAATATTTCTTGAGTAGGTACTATATATTTTTTATATTACACAAAAATGATTAGCAAGTAAATTCAAATTGTGGGTATACCAGTTTAAGTGAAATGCAATTTTCATTTCAGTACAAAGGAAAAGGGATCCATATTTATGTGAAAGTTTTTTTAAGGATATTTTCCTGAGATTGTTTTTGGAACTAAAACTAAAAGCTTGAAATTGAAAAGAAAGGTCCTTAACACCTGATAAAGACTGAACTTGGGAAGTATTTTGTGCGAGTATCAACACTTGTCATTTTGGACATCTTCCTGTTTCCCACTGGCAAATAAACCGTATTGGGAGCAAATGTGTATATGCAAACATAAGCATATTTTAGTCATAGGAATGCCTTTTCTATACTGCTGCACAAGTATAATTTTTGCTCCTGTACTTAGTACATTTTTTGGGATTGATGGAATAGTGTTGAACTGACAACTGTTAATTTTTCTCACCTTTATGCAAGCTCTGAAATGTTGCTAGGTTCCTTTTTATTTTGACAAAACTATTTCAAGTAAGGGTATCTTTCGCTGTTGCTTTTTAAAAAGTCTATTAATAAGGGGATGGGAAAAAGGTTTTCATATGAGCATTGCACCGAGGTGAGACTTTGTTTCTGCTGAGGCCATTTACTACCAGACTGAGATAGAGTATAGAATCTTTGTTTCCTTTGTATCTTTTTCAGCTCTTGAGGAGATGCAAGGCCGACAAGGCTCACGTCAAGAAACTGAGGACTTCGAACAGGCGGAGCTGCAGAGGCAAAGGGAACTGGAAGAACAGTCGAAGTCACGTACTAGAGAGAACGATGTACAGGTAAATCCCATTTGTGTCCATGATGTTGTCTTAACTTTGAGTGTCTGAGATGGAACAGGAAGCGAGGAATGCATGAAAAAAGTTGATTCAAAGTATGGGGAGTGTGAAAATGATCATAGTGTTTTGTACTCCCCCATCAATAGACCATGTAGGAGATAGACTTCTTCCACTCTACCTGTCTGAACCAACCCAAGCTGACCAGTGACATCATGTCCCAGCCGAAGAAAAGAAAAATGTGAAAATCAGTCTTCTCCCAATAATTTGTCGACATTTGAACATGGTAGATCATTCATTCAGCTTGCTTTGGTCTACAGTTTCTTTATTAATCCTGCTGCTTCCTAAACTATGTTCCTGTGCTCTTTGTTGCTCATTCAGTCTGTGAGGGAAGAACTGCAGGAAGAACACGAGCGACAAATGTCACAGCTCAGGTCTCAGCTCCAGCAGGAAGTGGACAGTAAAGTGGAGGAGTTGCAGGCTCAGCATGATCAAGATCTCCGGGAGTTGAGACAACTTCAGGTAAGTAACAGTCACACACGCATATGTATGGAGAGAGAGAGAGAGAGAGAGAGGGAGGGAGGGAGGGACGGATGGACGGACGGACAGTTATGGTTGTGAGTCGTTCATCAGGTCAGTGCAGATGAATAGAAAGATCTACACACAGAGGCTGCAAAGGACTAATTACTTTACCTTTGTTTAGCCAACTGTTTTGCAGAATATTGCAAAGATTTAAATATGACTTTTGAAGCCAGAATCACTCGCACATAAAAATCTAGGAACACTCTCCCTCTCCCAACAATTTTGGACCTACCAAATATCTCTGTCCCATAATTTCTTTAGCAGCATGTTTCAAGCACAATAGTTTGGTTGCAAAGTTACAATTCGTAAACCTATTTGCTTCTTAGTCATGATAATTGTTATTTGAAACATGTGCATAATAGCCTTTTCAGCATAAAAGTAGAAAGGTTTCAAGCCACAAGCATGTATTTCCCAAAAAAAAATTTTAAGAAAAGAAAAAATATTTGATATTCGAGTACACAATTGTAATGCAGGCAAGTAGCTATTTATGATGAATGTGGAGAAAAAAACAACAACAATAATGCAGCATCTACTCAGTGGACATGCTGTCCAATAACAGTTAAGAAAGGATAAAAAAGCAGTCTGAATGCAGTGATGTTGTCTTGTGCAACATACAGGATTACAGGTTCTAGATATTGATATCTGTGTAGTAAGTATTTTGGCCCCGCCTTGGGATGATACTTGCAAACAATTTGTTTCAAAGATTGCATACAACACTGATTAACTTAACAAGACCTCCACTTAAAAATCTTATTTAATACCGCACATCTTTCCTCAGTTTTGTAATCAAAGTGGGTACTGTGGTGTGGTCTGCCCCTTCTGCTTCTTTTCAATGTTTCTTTTGTCCTAATGTGTTTCTTGTGAAATGTGTCTGTTGTGTTTGCTGACTAGCAGTATTCTGTGGTCCAGAAATGACTAGGCAACTGATGTATGGAAGGCAGTATTTCAGAATGTCATGAAGGTTTTCATTCCATGAGGCCTCTCATAAGATAACAGAAAGGAGAATACAGAATCAGAAGCATTACATCACCTACTCCAGCCAACTGACCCTTGACTCAACGAGTGTAACTTATATGTCTTTATCACGCAACTGGCTGTTCTGACCGATGGTGGTCCATTTCATGTCGTGACTGGTCACTGGTCATCAATGAAGAGTGGACTTATCTCTTATCTCTTATGACAAACTTTACTCTTGAGGTGTGAGAGTTCACACTAGTGATATTGATTGACTGAAGCTTCACAGATTCAGATTAAACAGTTCTAATGTAGCAAGTGTGGTGAGTTTTGGTTGTATCTTTATTATCTTCAGTGAAAAAAATATGCAGCAGTGATGGTTGATGGTGTGGCTTTTTGTTTCTATTTTATTTGTGTAACCCATCTATTTACCCGCCTAACTTGTATTTCATAAACCTACTTTTAGGTATAGTACTTATGAGGGCTTTTGTGTGCTGAAGTATTGTACGTTTTGAAATGTAATTAGTTCAAATAATAATTTTTAACCCTATCCTTCTTCCTCCTAACTCTCCCCTTTAATGTGCTGGTAGTCTTGGGTAAATGTTTGCATTCAGCAAAATAATAATGACAATTATTCCGTAATTATTAAACAGCGCGTGATTGGCATCTATCGTCCTTATCTCTCCTCCTCCTCTTGTTTGCATGTTACACTCTGGTAACAACTCCCCTAATCTTCGGCAGTTATATGACCTGTTTGTGCTGCAAGTGAAGGCGATAAAACTCTTATAAAAAACTAAAATGCTAAAAATCCTTTATAAAAATTTGACTGACAGGAGCGAAAACTGGAACAAGCACTGGAGGAACAGAAAGAAAATCTGCAACAGGAGCGACAGACAGAGTTACACGCCTTGGGGCTTGACCATCAGGAAGAGTTGGATCGCCTCAGGGACAGAGAGTTTGGTCAGTTGAGATTTTTAGGTTGCAAGGTTTAGCTATTAATAATAATGTTGTACTGTCAATAGAGTTTTTTTTACATATGAAACTGCTGGCCAATTCTTTAACCAGAAGAGGAAAGCCACGAAAATGATTGATAGTAAGAGTTTACAATACCCGGGAAGTATTGCATGTACTGCCCTCGAATAGTTCTGATAACAATGATTTGAATGTGATTTAGTTTTTTTGCCGTTTGAATTATGTATGTTTTGAGTGTTTGAATGTGAATTGTACAGTGTGAGTGATGTTAAGTGAGAGAGGCCAGATATTCCAAGGTAATGCCAGGTTGTTTTTTTTACAATTTTCTTCTCTGCAGTTGTTTTATATATCTTAATTACCCATGTTCATAATTAGGTGTCCAGTCTCTCTTAATACATTAATGTCTTTTGACATCTTTTTAGTGGAAAGACTTTGGGGTATATTTTTAACTTTACCATTGGGTGATTTGCAGATTATTCTTTTTTCCTTTTTCTTATTTTGATTCTTGCTGTCTTTTATATTCCTTACTCCACATGACTGCTGTGGCACATTTTTTTTATCCACTTAACATTTATGTCAATATTTTAGATTGTAATTTAAGTTGGATTGGAATTTGTTTCATGCAATGTTTTCCTCTAGGCTCAGTGATCTAATTGAGGAAATTTGTTCCCAAGCTTTTAAATGTCCTATATTATGTTAACAGGAGTAGGAATTTTCAGTTTTAAAAAGTGCATTTATTCAAGAACTTTTATGTTGTTACTATATTTTGTTTGGATTCCAACAAAAACGACTTAAAGATATAAACAAATGAATATTTTGCTTTTAAATTCAGCCAGGTTTTATGATGGTTGAACTGTTCATTGTGCTGGATTTCTCTTACTTATTCTTTTCATTAATGAATGTTCCACACTGGATTTTTTCAACACTGCACAGCATAAAAATAAACATTGCAAGGGTGTTTTTGTTGTTTTTTTCTAACAGAGAAACTGAACTTTGGGAACCAGTCTGAAAGTCAAGACGCATCAGCTCGGTCATCGGTGAGTGGGGACGCTGCCATGCCAGAGCGCTTACAGGTAACATGGGCCTGGGATGTCCACGTTACAGTTGTTCTCTAATTTTAGATTTTTATGCCCTTTGTGTTGTTAAAAAAATTTTTTTTAGGAACAAACAGCAAAAAGATAGAGAGGGCAGGAAATCAATAAAAATGAAAATTGTTGCAGTTGCATTAGGTTTTCAGATTATTTTTTGTTTTTGTTTTTGAGTGCCCAAGGGTATTCTTGTTGGGCTTTTTGTGTGAGGTTAGCTGAAGGGAGGGGGGGGGAGGAGTCCTTGAACCCCAGAGGGAGGAAACATTGATTTGTGTTAATGACAACTTGTGATGAAAGCATGGATTTTGCTGCATGTGTTATATGAGTGTGAAAAAGGATGGCCTGGGGCTTGGGGGGGGGGGGGGGGGGATGGGTATATATGTCTTTCCTGCCAAACATCTGTTGCCCTTATCTCTCCTTATTTTATTCCCTTTACTCCTTTATAACATCGAATCTCTCATTACCTAATAGTGTTGAAAGGACGATAAAACTGTTACAAAAAAAATTTTTAAGCAACAATTTGAATAAGTGTTCATTGCGGGCAGTATTGCATACAGACGTAAGTCATTCTTGACAACTTTTGAGATAGGTCTGTATTCAATACTTCCAGCGCAATGTATTTCTCATTATTATTGTTACTGTTATTATTACTATTTCTCATTGTCTTCCCATCCTAGGCTCTTCTCACTCGATTGAATCAGGTTGGAGAGCAGCTGCTGAGCGTGTCCGACCTGAGGTACCTCCAGCAGTACCTGTCACCGGCCAGCCAGTCCACACGCTCCCCCGACACACTGGTCTGGAGCGAGGAGCGCCGCGGGCTGATGGACACCATAGATGCGCTGAAAGACTTGCATGAGCTGGCGGACAGGCTCGTCAGGGTGAGTTGGTGTGGTGTCGATATGTGGATTTTTGGTTTATATTCTTTTTGTGTGGTGCAGTAGTTATGGTGTTGGAGCCTCTGTGGAATGTCTGTCTCTAATTGGACTGAGTGAAGTATGTTGATGGAGAACGGTACATATATATTTATATGTGCGTATGTGTGCACACACATGGACACACACGCATGCAGTGCACGCACGCTTGCTTGCATGCATATAGACACACATGTGCATGGGCGCACGCACACACACACACACACATATATACGTACAAACACTTACTTGCACACACAGACACAGAACACATACATGTGCGAACACAGACACATACTGGCACATAAAGACATACTTGAACACACTCACACACACACACACACTCACACACACAAACACACTTGTGCACACATGTTTATTAATTGGCACATCAGGATGTACATGTATACACAGATACATGCTTCATCACCAATGTACGTTCTCCCATTCATACATTCAGACCTGCCCCGACATGCAGATATTCGTACATCAGTTCAGGTAAACCTACGCATGTACCAACAAACACTCACACTCTCACTCACTCACTCTTTCTCTCTCTCTTTCTCTCTCTCTCTTTCTCTCTCTCTCTCTCTCTCTCTCTCTCTATATATATATATATATATATATATATATCTCTCTCTCTCTCCATCTCTCTCTCTTCCTCTCTCTCTCTTTCTCTCTCTCTCTCCCTCTCTCTCTCTCTCTCTCTCTCTGTCTCTCTCTCTCTCTCTCACACACACACACACACACACACACACACACACACACACACACACACACACACACACACACATACTCACACTCTTACTTATGTTCACTACCCAATCTGATCACCTGTACACCTGTTTGTCATCAGGACAATGAAGAGACAGATGACTGGAGGTCCGATCTGGTCCAAGCTATGGTCATGGTCTATGATAAAGAGAAGCGGGTTCTGTCTGCGGAGGTCAACACTTCTGACGTGCTCTTCCCAGAAATGGACATTGTTTCTCAGCTTGAGTCCAGAATTCATGACCTGGTAGGTGACAGAAAGCAGTGTGGTCTTTCATGTTTTAGTAAGAGTTTTACAGTACTTGCAACACAATTGGGTCATATAAGTGCCAAAGATTAGAGGTAATAGGAGAGAGTAACAAACAAAAACAAAAAAAGAGGAGGAGAGATATGGATAATAGATGTTTGATAGGAAAGAAGGAGCAAACCACACCACAGCTCCCGCCATTCACTCATTGGTCTTTCTTTAAAAATTTTATAAGAAACATTCCTCAAACCTGTCTTTTAGATGTATTTAAGGAGACTGAATTAAGGGTGGGAGGGGGAGAAAGAGGGCTTGTTACCTTAGAAGTAAGGCATTCATCTCTTGCACTAAATCACCTAGTTTAATTCCTGGTTCATGTTGGCGTGGTTCCTGGATTATGTGAGTTTCATTTCGCTTCCATCTCCTATAAAAAGATGAAATTGGGTCAACAGGGGTGTAAGAAAAGGTGTTTTCAGTATGTAATTGTTTTAGCGCCTGTAAAATGGCTATATGCTTCACAGGAAGTTGAGACTGTTTCTGAATGTTTTCAAGTCTACTAGAGAATTAATATAGTTTGTAAAGTACCAAAGTGCATAGAGCTGTTGATTGTGAATTTGCACTATACAAATGCTATTTGTGGTTAGTAAGATATGTACAAAAACAACTAAATTATATGGCATGAATCATTTTTTAAATCATTGTCTGTTCTTGAATTGTCCCAGGAACAAGTGCACCAGGCAGGACTGGACGACATGCTGCGAGCTGACCGGCAGTCTTTGATCGATGAGGTGGACAGTCTGCACAACAGACTGCTGGAGGCCAAGCAGCACCTGCAGGACTCGCGGGACCAGCTCACGCAGCGCATCAACGATCTGGAGGCCGCCAAGGCAACGGCTGAGTGGAAGTTGCAGAGACAGAGTGAGTGAATGTGTGTGTGTGTGTGTGTGAAAGGCAACCATTGAGTGGAAGCTGCAGAGACAAGCTTCTCAGAGAGAAGGAATATGTGTGTGTGTATGTGTGAGTGTTTGTGGGCGTATGTTTATATTAAAAGCAACCAACCACTGCATGGAAGCTGCGGAGACAGAGTAAGTGAATGTGTGTGTGTGTGTTGTGTGTATTTTTGTATGTGTTTTTGATTGGGGGAGGGAGGCAGAGAGTATGTGTGTGTGCGTATGTTTATGTTTGTGGGTATTGTTTCTGGTTGGATATAGTATGGGTTATTGTTTGTGTAGTTGGATGGGAAGTGTGAAAGTGAGCGTGTATATATTTGTGTGCCTGAGTGAACATGCTCTTTTTTCTGCACTGTGATTTCCTCAGTTCAACTCCTAGAGTACAAGCTGCAGCAGGAGGGTGTCATCCAGGAGGATCTCAAGAAGTCACTGCGTCTGGAACGGAACAGAGTCTCAGAGTTGTCCGCCCAGTCAGGCCAGGAGCGAACCCGAACCCTGGAGCTCCAGTCTGAGCTGTCGTCCACTCAGATACAGCTGTCCAAATTCCGAGATGCTCTGGAACGAGAGCAGCACCGTTTTTCTTCCGTCACGTGAGTTGGGTTGTTTTTTCCCCCCTCTTTCTTTGTAGTTATGAGCATTCAACTTTCCTTATAAATCATTTTTTCTTTCAATCATTTGATTTTTGTTTGTTTGTTTTTTTTGTCCCTTTATTTATATCCCTTTTGTTCTGTGTTCTCTAGAATTAATTCGTTCAATCCAATTTTTATTTGCTTGTCGTACTTGTCTTTTCTCCCTGTTTCTTTCTCTGCTTCTTTCTTGTTCATTAGTCTTGTGCATTCAGGTTCTCCATCTTCCAACATTCTATCTTCCACTCCCTTTTTGTCTTTCTCTTTGTGAACTTTTTGTCTTGGTCTCAGCATTTAAGTCTGATTTTTTTAAAGAAACAAGTGCACTCCACTGAATGAACTGTCTTATTTTATTCCTTTTCTTTTGTTTTAACCGTTGAAAATGGTGCAAGAGAATTTTAGTGCCTATGTTTTTCTTACAATGGACACCAGCACTATTGTTTTTATTCCAAAAGAAAAAAACTTCATACCGGAAACTGTACTTGTTTTTTGTTGTTCCCATCAAGGGCAGATGAGAGGTAGGAAAGCATAATAGTCTGCTCAGTGTTGAGGCAAACATTCAGGGGATATGGTATTTTTTTGTTGCTTTACACTCGCTGTTTTTGTTACGTTTCAATGCAAAATGCTTTGAAAGTGCAAGATCTATATATTTGCCTAAATTTGCCTCTCAACGAGATATGTCTTTCATTAGTGGAAAATATTATGTCAAATAGAATTTGATTTGTATCATGAGAGTTCCAAATATTTACTTGATTTTTATCAATTGTCTTCGTGGATTATAGTCTTTCGTTGCTCATCAGAAGGTAACCTAGCTGTTGCACTGCATTTCCTTCACAACTGCATTCCATACATATATGCCACAGTCTTCATGCATCATCACATATCTGTTTAACCTTGCATCATCACCTATTTTTAAAAATGTCACCATGTCTGTAAGAAATGTCTGTGTGCAAGTTTGATATCAGGAGTCTCGTTCACATTTGATCACCATTTGACCACACATCGATTGCTTAGTGTAAGAAAAACTCTGTCATACTTCATTTTGAAAAGTGGCTTATGACAGAGTCTTACACTGTGCAGTCAATGTATGTTGAAGTCATCTCTCATATGGTCACTCTGAAGGAAGAAATTCTCTTGAAGTAGACTTTTTTAAATATCAGAAAAGAGAAAAGAAAAGCTGTCAGTGTAAAAGGGGAGTGCCGAAGAAGATATTCTACTGTTTCAGTAACATTTGCACAGAAGAAAAGAATTTCATAACAAAGAAACAGGTTCTTGGTCTTGTCCTTGCCTATGTGCATGTAACTTCTCACTGTCAGCGTAACAATGAAGTATCTGCTGTCTTACTCTCACAGGTTAGATTGGAGCGGTTCTCTGTAAGTGCTCACTACTGGCCCACAAACACCTTACTGTCATAACCTCCCTTTTTCAAGTCCCAAACCCCCTTCCTCTCCATTCCCCACTCCCACCCCCAAAAAAGTTTACCATTCGCCCCACCCCTGCTTGCCCGTCCATTGCATGCTTGTTTCATACTTTTTAAATGTCAGTTTTATTTTCAGCATACTTGTAGCTTGGATAGGTTCGCGTTTCGCGTCTTCACTTGGATAGGTTGAAGTTCTGAGCATTTACTGGGTGTCTTTCTTTTTGATATACATGTAGTGTTAGCTTGTTTTTCTGAAAAGGAAACAAGGAAAGCATCTTCATTCACGCAGGGTTAGATTTCTTTTTTATCACATTACACGTCATCTTTTTGTGCTTAGTCTTAAATTAATGAAAATAAAATAAAACACCAACTTTTCTTAAATATGTCGTATATGCAAAAACGCACAAATCTGGAAAATGGCTTAATTCATACAAAGTATTCAATAAATCAACAGTTATCATGAATATCTTTCATTTTACTTTATTTGTCTTCCTTAACTAAGGTAATATAGAGAACTTGTCGTTAACACTTTCTGCAGTGTGAACAAGAGGGATTTTTTGTTTTACATGTTTTCATGGATTAACTCGCATTGGAACAGACATTCAATTTTCTTGGGGTTTTACAATAGATAACTTTGTTTCGGTAACAATTAAGAGAGGCTACATTTCCCTGAATAGTGAGAGAAGGCTGGTCTGTGGATGTTTAATTTCTTTGCCATACCTCATGAGCTCAGTCAAAGCCTGCTTTTTCCTCACATGATTCCAAATTTTGCTTTCTTGAAAGGTAAAGGAAGTTTCTTCTTTTCGTACATGATACTTGACTCTTTGTCATCTTCTTAGTAACCAGCTCAATGTATCATGAAAAGCTGTAGGTGTAAATATTATTTCAAGTATACGTACAGCCAAACTTTGTAGTACACTTTTTTTTGTAAAGCAAGCACAAAATGCATGCCTTAAACAATAGTAACGTACGTCACTGATATATTTCTCATTCCTGCTTTAAATTGTCCTACATTGAACGTAACAGTGAAAGTATATTATTGGGTTGTAGGGTTTTCTGTTAAGTTATATCTGCATGCATGTATGTAACTGTACAACTAATTTTTATCCTATGAATCAGCCGCTTTGGCTGTAAATATTGTAGCCTATCTTCTTGAGATCAGCATGCAAGGGCACAGTATTTAATTGCTGTGTACTGTTCCAGCTGTGGCATTTGTCCTGCTGGTGATTATGTCTTGGGTTTAATAAATTACCTGGTCATTGTGCATGTGTGTGTTTATGAGAGAGAGAGAGAGAGAGAGAGAGAGAGAGAGAGAGAGAAACACACAGAAAGAAAGAAAGAAAGAAAGAAAGGGATAGTTGAGCATGTTTGGTGTGCAGAAATTGGCTCTGGCTGTGTGTTTTTGGTGAATGGGAATTAAATGTGCATATATATGTGCTTCTTGTGGCACTACAATGTAGAAGATGTGAAAAGGGTTCTGAGCTTTCAACACTATTCAGATTTAAAATTATGGAGATGGTGAGCATAGGAATGGTAATCTGTAATTGCAGAAAGGAAGAAGTAAATCTGGAAGGAGAAAGCTATGAAAATCGGCATATATCGTTGATTGGTCAGGCTTCACCATGTGGGCAAAAGTTATGAGTTCAGTTCCCACTCAGAGAAGATATTTTGTCCTGTTTTTCAGTCTTTGTGCTGTAATGTAGTATGCTACACAACATAGGTTGACCTTGGCACGCAGTTTTGAAGCAGCATACATCCTAAATGATCTGTTTTGTGTTGAGGGAGGAATAAACGTTTTGTTTTAGAAGAGGTTTTACAGAGCTCGCAACGGCATAAGGTCACATGTATGCCAAGGGGTGGATGTCAACAGAGAAGTCCTCACAGGGAGTCAGACTTACTCTACTCACCTCTCTAGCTTCAATAGCACTAAGTCTGCTTTACTATCAAGGCACTCTGGAAATAGCAGGTCACAAGAGTGTGACAAATGTACAAAAGAAGTAAAGGAAAAATGACGATAGAAAGGATTAGGAAAGAAAAAGCAGCAGTTCCCTGTTGCAGTTCAGACAGTCATGAGCATGACGTTGATGATTCAGCCCATTTACTATTAGAACTTTACTGTGCATAAGAACATAGTTAATGTCCCCCCTTTGGGAATGGCCGAAAGACACTTTAGTCAGTAGCACTGCCCCGGGAGGTGAATAACGTTTACTATCATTTTGAACAGAGGTACTTTTGTTTCTTAATGATGTATCTTTCAGTTGACAAAAACTGATGGTTGGATTTTTTCATTGCAAAGGTGCATGGTGTGTGTCAGTGTGTTTTGCCAGCCAGTTGGATTGTGTAGTTCGAATGTGTGGGTTTTGGTTTTACCGGTTTGTGATGTGAGATTTGTGTTGAGTGCATGTGCTTTATATGATGGGGTCCGAAATGAACTCACAGTTGTTAGTCCTGTGAATATCATAAAGATACATAAATGTTTTCAGTTATCAATTCTGTCAGGGCCTATCAAAATCAGACAGGAGTTGAAAATTCCATGAATTGAGTTTTTATTATTGTAAAGAATTGTCATCTTTTCCCTTCAATTTTTAAAAAAAGTGAACATATTGGAGTCAAAAGTTAAGTTTGTTTTAAGTTTCATCATAATCACGTCCAACCTGCTTCTTTCCCCCTTTCCTGTTATTTCCATCCTCTTTGCTAGTTTCAAGTCTGGTCTTGTTCAAAGCATATTTTATCCCCAAGAATATTCTAGTTTAAGTTTAAATCATAGGTTCATAGTTAAAGGTTTAATCTGCAGCAATGATTTGAGAAATTTAGAAGCTGACAACATTTCAACATTTGTCAGAAGACAAAGAATGCAATGCCTTACAAGTACTTTGTCCGTTTGTCATGTTATTACAGCTTACAAAGACCAATATTTATGCAACAGTCATTTTGCTTAATTTTTTGGTTAAATGTAGGTGTTTTTACACTTCCATCAACACAATTTAGATAATTTAGGAGGTTGGCTTCAACCCTGCCTGTCAGAACCAACCTTGCCTGAGAGGGATACAACATTTTATGAGAAAGAACAAGATGCTCAATAAAAATTTACCTCACTTAAGAACTGGGGTGTCCTGCATGAGACAGCGAAATGACTAGCTGCAACGCCACAGACGCAGGTCATTCTGCTTCTTGGTCCAAATTTTTGCTCATCTACAGTAGCATAAACTTATCGCAGATAATGACTTTTCACTTTGTACAAAGCATAATCTTTATGGGTATCTTGGGTTTTTTTGAGAGACTTTGACATTGAAGTGAAATATGACCTGACTACATTCAGTTTGATTTTTCAAGGCATGTCTTTACTGTCACTTAAGTCTAGGGGTATTCTCTCAGCCCTCAGCCTGTGAAAGTTGTACACCCCGACTTATGGATCGTTTTTAATTCTCACGTGTTGCTTCTTATTTGAGGACTGAAATAATTTGATGCTAAGGCAACTTATTACTTGTTTGCAAGATCATTTATACTAACACTTTCGGCGGTCTCTCGTATGATGGCAAAGAAAGACAGAAGGGTGTCGTCCATTTCCGGCTGTTCCTAAACAGTTGCTTACTTCTGTCTCCCAGTCAATTCAGTCAGTATTCTTGTCGCTATTTGTCAGTGTCCTTCTATGCAAATATAACTTAAAACTCATCTTCTTGACCATGTGCTTGTTGCTTACTGTGTCTCAGATGCTTTCTGTCAGATAACATTCCTAGTACGCTTGTGGGTGATAATCTTATGTGATCTGCTTCTTCTTCTTCTTTTCAGTGTTACTGTTGCCCTACTCTTTTCCAAGTGAAATGTGGCTGTTATTATGTTGACTAACGATTAATGTACAACTCTGCAATAACTCCAACTTGTCGAGATTGGTATTCTTGAGAGAATTTGTATCGAAAAATGATAAAATGGTACCTAATAAGGTCATTGATTGTTTTTAAAAAATTATACCTCTAGTTGCACAGACACCTTTGGCTAAACTGATACAACCATGGTCAGCACTGTTTGTCTCTCTGTCTTTCTGCCTGTCCTTTTTCTATTTATCACTCCATCTGTGTTTGTTTATCTCTGTCTTTTGTTAAGGAAGAGACAGCAGGAAACCCCATCCTCCATTTCTATATGGATTTTGAACCCTGAGTTTGTCATCTACAGGAACTTTCATACATTGATGATTTGGTTGCTAATGTCTGTGATTACATCTTTCAGTATTTTTTGCTTCATCTACTTCTTTTTCAGTGTTTTATGGCTGCTCTTGTGTGGCCATGTCTGTGTACTTCTTTTTAGTGTTATTATTATTTTCATCTGTTCCAGGGAAAATGTGGCCATCATCATGTTGACTGGCTGTGAACGACAGCTAGCCTCAGAGTGTTTGTTGTCATAGTGTTCCGTTTAACAGTTAAATTATTTATTTTTTAATTGTTCATGCTGTAAAACCTTACCTCAAATCAAACTGGAAAGTGTTTCTTGTTTGAAGGTATGCTATTGATTATGGCTTACTTGGCTAAAAAAAATTAGTGTTGAATTGTGTATAAATTCAGGTGTACTAGATGATAGTGTCTTAAACTTGAAGGTCCTCTCTGTTTGCCTGCAGTGACGCATTGGAGGAGGAACGGGCGAAAACAAACCGACTGAATGAACTGCTAGATGCAGCGAAGAAACAGCTGAGAGCCCTGCAAGAGGAAGTGGCTCACACCGACGCGCGACAACAACAACGCTCTGAGACAGAGCAGGATTACATACAGGTGAGTTCTGGTAGATTTGAAAGAGAATTGTGTTGGCGAGATAACAGTTTGGTAATTTTGGGTAAAGTCTAGACTGACATACAGATGAAAAGAGCAATAGTGGCACCATCATCTCTTGTTTCCAGTTATGGATTTGAGCGACTTAAAAAGCATGATCAATTATGTTTAAAGACTTTGGAAAGTACAGGTGGGCTCAGATTCCATGATTGATATTTCTTTATTTTCTCTTTATCGGGTACCCTAAATTATGGATGTATAAAACATATTTGTCAATGTCCGCCGTGTTTGAGTTAACAGTGCGTTACTGGACGTCTTTCCAAACTAGAGTTCTTTTCTGTGGAGTTATTGTTTCATGTAGCTTTTTTTTTTAACCAAGAAATCATTTGATGAGTAAATTTACTTGCCAATGTTGCATAATACGTATGTCATATTTTAAAAAATCCTTCACAGGGATTGGAATCAGAGCTGAGCAAAGAGAGAGAGAGGAGCTGTGAGTTTTCCAAGGCTGAGGACAATGCAAAAGGAGAAGTGACTCGCCTCTCAGAGGAAGTAGTCACGCTGAAGAGGAAGTTGTCCTCCCTCATGGAAGACTATGAGGAAAAGATTGAGTCTCTCCATCGGGAACATGTTGAAAAGTAAGTTAAGTTGTCAAGTAGTCAGTTATCAAAATATTCGAGATGCAGTTTAGTATATTTGAAATCACAGAGGGGGCTCTGGTCTCTTAAGAGGTACAGTGTTTGCCTTTCAGTCAAAAGATCCTGGGGTCAAAACCTTCCAGCAATGAAAAACCTTTCTAAAATGGTTTCCTTTGTTTTCCTTTCATGTTCTCTAGTCCTGTTCTGTCATCTGCTTTCATCATCACTTTCGTCCCCCACTGGTGGCCTTCTCTCCCTTACTCCTGGCTTTTGCTAACTGCTGTCTTTCAGCCAAACCCCTGATCTAGTAAGATGGATCACCTAGCCTTTTCAGATAAATAAGGATGAAAAATCTTAGAGGTCCAGTGTACATTCTGCACATGTTAAATATCCCTTGTTTGTCCTAAAGTCGGTAAGAGTAAGTTTCATAAGCCACCTGAGCAAAATTCAATATTATTTCCTACCAAAACTGAAAATACTGTTATTAGTATAAAAAAAGAGATACAGAGCACCTTCGAAATTTAAATGTGACTGCCTGAAGGCGAAGCGCCCTGCAAAGTTGGAAAAACGGTCAGATGTGTAACTATCAGTTGCAATGCAGGTTGAAAAACCAGCTGTCAGCTACCCGCAAGATCTAGCAGGGGAACACAAAGAGAGAAAAAATCACAGTATCATCTGATTGAGATGTGAATAGGTCAGAGTTTGTAGACAATTGTTAGCGAAAAATTGCTACTGATGTAGTGTCTACTGGCAGTAGTTTTGTTTGACTTGCCGGAGTAGGTCTTTATGCCTCTTTTTAATGTAGTGAAATATGGCTCTCTACTTCCTGACTGTAAAAATTCAATGAGAAAAATAATGTAAATATATCGAACACTTGTTCTTCATTCAGTTTGTGACGCAAAGGATTAAAAATATGTTTACAGTATGAGGGTTCAAGTGTATGTGATATATTTTACTTTCTGTACTTAACAATAGATGGGTTTTTTTTTAGATTGTAGTCAAAGTCCCACCTAAAGCCAAGGGGTTTGTGTGTACATATCTTGCCAGTTTGTTGGTGTTTGAGTGCTTAATCGGCTACTTGCACTGTATATTGTATGCTACCCAGGAAGCTGATAATGTTTCTGAATGTTCGTGGGTCTGCTGGGGTAATGATATAGATTCTAAAGCTCATAGAGCTTTGCTGACGAGCAGGTAGACAAGGTCTGCAAGTGCTATTCGTTATTACATCATATTCTTCTTCTTCTTCTTCTTCTTCTTCTTCTTCTTCTTCTTCTTCTTCTTCTTCTCCTTCTCCTTCTCCTTCTCCTTCTCCTTCTCCTTCTTCTTCTTCTATTATTATCATTATTATTATTATTATTTTTATTATTATTGTTGTTATTGTTATTATTACACGTAATGTGATTGACTCAATGATTTGCTGTCTTTAGGACCTAAGGTAATGTTTGTTAATACTGATTGTGCTACGACTGTGTGCCTGCCAGGGAAGTCCAGCGGCGTGCCGACGGCGAGTCCGAGGCTGTAGCCAGACTGAGCGAGCTCCTGGATGCTGAGAGAGAGAGCCACCAAGCCCACCTGGAGCAAGAGAGGGCCACCACCAGGCAGCTGAAGCATGACCTGGAGCAGAACAGGGTAGGCACAATGTGTGGTGACTTCAGTGTTGTTACTCTGTGGTTGATTATCTTGCAGCAGTCTATCTTCATGTTTCTCTCTTAAAGTGCTAGCGCATGCATGCTTTGCTTGCGTGCGTGCATCTATGTATACCGTACTCCAATAGTATGGTCCCCAGCTTATGTAAATTATCTAATGTACTGCACCAATTTATGTATGTATTTTCTGAGTCATATATCATAATGTGTGGATGTATGGGCCAAAGGCCTTTAAAATCAATTTTGATACAGTCACTGTCTTTTTGTTATAGAATTAAAGACTTATGCCATATTTGTGGGAAATAAAAAGAGTAAAAATAAAAAATAATTCAGATGAGCATTAGTGACTGATGAAAGGGCCAGTAGTCAGTAAGTTAACCTCTAGAAGACAACTATAATTATATATGTTATATTATGAGAGGTTTTAGACTCCTTTCTTCCCAACTTGTGTTTTCATAATTTTCCATGCATGTTCCCCTTTACTGTTTGAAGTATACATATTCTAGTGACATCATTCACTCAAAAAACTTGTTGTACCTTGCCCTTGAAACAGTTTGTTAATTGATGAACTATCCACAGTCGGAGTACAGTGACCTCAAGCATCGTAGCGAGAAGGACAGATCAAAGGTTGCCAGCTTAAAGCTTGAGCTGACCCAGGCGCGATCGGAGCTGTCAGAACGTAGACAACAGACGGGAGCTTTGGAGGAAGAGACGGACAACATGAAGGTGGCGGCGCAGCGGCAGATCCGACTGGCAGAACAGAACAAGGAGGAACTACAGCAGAAAGTGGTCAGTGGTCGTTTGACAGCAGTCACTGTACACATACACTCTTATCTTCCGCACTTATAGACTTAATTGTATTTGTAAAACACTTACTAAATCAGTTTTAAAAAACAACACGAAAACAAACAAAAATGAAGAAGTCCGTGACTGCTTGATAGAAGGTCACTGTACACATCTTCCCCCCCACACACACAAACACAAACACGCACACACACCCTCCATGCACACAGACACTAGTAGTCAGTTTCAGTTTGGTAAAAGTTTTACAGGGCTCACAACCGCGTAAGGTCATATGAGCGTGTAAGTAGTTGGTGGTTTATGGATACGCGTCATTTACACCCACAACCTCCCCCCCCTCCAAAACCACAGTCGCGCAATAGAAATTGTCCGTGGCTCCTCCGTAAGGGGTCACTAAACATTGAGCCCCCTCAAACTCACATGTACACCCACACAATATCAGTGGCAGCTGTTTATAGGTCACCACATATAATATATATATATGTCCACACACTTGCACATACAGCTGGTGTTGACAAATGTCCCTCTGAGGGAGCAGACGACTGGAATGCTCTATCTCACCCATGTAGGCTACTTGAACTCAATTTTGCACACTCTCGTGCATACTCACACCTAGGCACATGAATTCTCTCACTCACATAGACACTCTCACACATGTATATTCACCCGTACACCCAACTCTTGCATGTATGAATCGCTCACTTGGACACACTCTTTTTTGCTCCTTCTTTCTTATCAAACATCTATCGTCCTGATCTCCCCTCCTTTTTTGTGTATGTTAGTCTCTTGTAGCACCTCTAATCTTCGGCACTTATATGACCTTATTGCGTTGCAAGTGCCCTAAAACACTTACTTAAACTAAAAAAAACACTCTCACACATACCCCCCGGGGCGGTGCTACTGACTGAAGTGTCTTTACGCCATTCCGAAAAAAGGGACATTAATATGTTCTTATACACAGTAGAATTGTAAATTGTAAATGGGCTGATTCATCAATGTCATGCTCATAACTGTGCCTGAACTACAACAGGGAACTGCTGCTTTTTCTTTCCTAATCCTTACTATCGTCATTTTTCCTCTACTTCTTTTGTATGTTTGTCACACTCTTGTGACCTGCTATTTCTGGGGTGCCTTGATAATCAAAACAGACTTTGTGCTGTTGAAGCTAGAGAGGTGAGCAGAGTAAGTCTGATTCCCTGTAAGGACTTCTCTGTTGACATCCACCCCGTGGCGCTCATATGACCTTATGCAGTTGCGAGCGCCGTAAAACCTTTACTACGACTAACACTCTCGCACAACACAGTTTCTTCAAAAACAACAAGAGGCTACCTTACAGTCAAAAGACTCTGCGTTCTGGTGGAGTAAATAACCATACTTGTAAACTAACAGTGGCCACATTTGTATGAAAACTGTCCTGCCGTCAGTTGGCTAAACTTAGTTGATATGGACCAAAAATATTGCTAATTTTACCACAATCAAGGTGAAAAGAAGAGTTATTGCAATTATCAACCTTAATAAATAGTCTTTTTTTTTCACGATTTATGCATAGTAGCCTATGTGTTACATGCTTATATACGTGTTTTGCTCTTGTTTCTAATAACCCGTTGTTGTAATTATTTTCGATTTTGAAGAAACAAACAAAACATCCATTATCTCTTCGTGACAGCGTGAGCTGGAGAGAGAACTGACCAGAGTCCAGGATCGTACACGTGACCTTGAGGTAGAGTTGAGTACCGCACGACACATGCAGGCAGGACAGACAAGGGCAGGGGGAGATTACCACAGGGACGCCATAAATTCTCTTGTCACGGTGAGTGTAATGAAAAAAAAGCTACCTATAGCAGTGTACAGGACAACAGGATTCATTAAGCTTTATTAGTTGCAATTCCTGTCTTAGTGCCCCGGGTTTTTTTTTAAAGTTTCAACGCCCAAAAATTGGAAGCACACTAACAGTTATTTCTTTTTAAAAAGTATTAGCACTGGTGTCTGTGAGGTTGAGTCAAAATGGTACAAAGATTTGTTTCCTTGAGACATGTCAGATCAGCACAATAAGTTGGTACAGTCAAACCTGCTCTGACAGCCACCTGTATAAGGCAATGACCTGTTCAAACAGCCACACCATATTTCTTCCCATTGTATTTTTTTTTTTACATTACAATTACACTGTGAGACGACCACCTGTCTAATACAGCCACTTTTCTCCTCAACAAAGGGTGCCCGTCTTACACAGTTGTGAATGTGTGTTCCCGTTTTGACAACACTATGCACAATATTGCTCTTACAGTAGACCTTCATTTTGTTTTGGAAACTAGTACTGCTGCTGAAATTGTTATTATTGGTTTTTTTTGCAATTAATAATAATAAATAATAGATAGCATTTGTATAGCGCATATCTCCGCTCAACAGCAGGCTCTATGCGCTTTACACTATATTATTACCCCAGCAGACCATAGTACACTCCGAAACATTCTCAGCTTCCCGGGAAACATACAGTGCGAGCAGCCGATTAAGCGCTCAAACACTAACAAACTGACAAGATCTTTC